ATTCTCTTGCTTTGCCTGCACTCCAGATGTAAACGAGCGAGTGTGAGATTTTTTTTCAGAGGAAATGAAGCCACATTTAAGCACCGCCGACCGACTTTGTGCATTTTAAGTACTCTGTGAGCAAACACAAAGAGTGTGGCAGGTTGAAGTGGACTGTCATGATGCGATCGGCATGATAGGATCCCTGTATTCCCCGGGTCCTTGAAGCAAGACAAATAACTCCCACTAATTGAATTCCTTTGAAGAAACACCCCAAAGATGGACATCTCCACGGGCCCAGTTTTGACAAGCTTTTTCATGCCAGTGTATCACTTTCACACATCGTTTCCTCCCTTGACATGGCTACGACGATGACCCAGTGGCAATACGTTTGGCTTATAAACATGCCTAATTCATTAATGAAGCTGATGGATTGGGGAGACAACAAAAGCAGAATAGCCTCTGTTTTTAATTCATGGGGGACATCCTAGAGGGAGCGAAGGCCATCGTGTGATCTACAGCTCGGCTCCCACGTGTCACCGTATGTCCCCACTGGCTCAGTCAGAGCCTGCATTCATACACGGATCAACATTTACTCAAGCGTGACAATAATTTCAGCCTGCAAGCACGTCACAACCCAACCACCAGAGCAAAGAAACAAATAAGAAACTAAGAGGAAAAAGGCACATTTAATTGGTGTGAGGTTGAGAACAGATGAACGGCTGTCTAAGATTGTGTGAGCCTGAACAATCTGACCTCCATGTGATGACACGAAGTCCTGCATTGGTTTTTCTACACACAGACACCACTCAGCTGTGCTGCTACATCTGTTAATGGAGGGCAAAATATTCCCTTAATTATGGAAGCATTTAGCTGTCCTACCACGAGAGTTTCTCCTCTGTCAACATGTTAAAAAAATATTTATCCTAATCTTGTTTCATCCATAAATAAATTGGATTGTTGCATCCCAAATTCAAAACTGTACCGTCTTGAACAGCAGCAGTGGAAGTGGGCCTGGAGGATCCCTATAACCAGAATCTCCAGCAGGTGGAAAACTGGTTCATGTGTCACTTGACTGAACTCACCAGAACAAGTATTAGCACTGCCAGCTGAACTTTAAGTCAATCTGTGGGATGAAAGACACTCACTGAAGAAGCAACTTGTTTTCTTTTTTACTAAATAAATATTATCTGTAGGTCCATCCTGCAGAATTTAGCTACTAAGGGTAAAAGTCTTCCAGAATGTCTATTTTCTGTCAGAAAAGTGTATAATTGTGCAGTAAGAGATTAAAGATTACATAAGATTGCACAAAGATGAGGATTAGCATTAGCCTTGATGCTGTCAGCTCCCCAAATCTACTCAAAATGGATCTAGCCAAATTCATTGTGCACAGACAGGAACCAAAAGGATAAGAGGGAATGACAACACCCGAACACCCTCCTCAAGCAGGAACACTGAGCACAATGAGAGCGCATCTGGTCCTATGTGGGTCAAATCCCAGGCTAATTTCATACTATCAGCTTCATCTGCAATAATAGAGCAACTTACCATATAATACTCTCATGATACATTCACCAGAATTACTATGGTATCATGATTCAGTGATTCTGCTATCCTTAGATATAATGAGCAGAGGCCAGTTCTGACTGACCAGCCTCATACTAATCTAGTCCTTATTCCAAGACCAATCCTAGCATAATCCCCTTTATAACTCTGATAACTATCATAACGCATAAAATAAACATCATCATCACAGTATGATATGAAAACAGTGACTGAGCCCATTAAATCTTTGAGAAAGTGTTTACTTAAGTCTATTGAACTCCACACAAATGGAACAGAAAGGAGTCTCCCCCCACATGTTGTAAAAAATATGGGTTTAAGAACTTTTACTTTGGCTTCACTTTTTAGACCCTGAAGAAAATGAACAAAACTGATCAATAAATATTTGTGTTTTGTCTCCTGGTGTGTCTGTGGATATGCTTCAAGTGTGAAATGAGATCTTAAATTTATAGGTGTATTTGATTCAGATCACCACAGAAGCAGTCCAATTAGGCTCTCGAGCTGTCTCACAGTTAATTAACCCTCCAGCAATTAAGTTAAATCAAGAGCTTAAAATTACCAACTGGGATCAGCTGTGTATATAGGAGTACCTACAGTACGTGGGTCCTACAGTACGTTGTTTCCTTCAGAACAGATATTCTTAAATGCTATAATGTAGTTCATTATGAATTTCAATCATATTTATGCCAAAAAGGCCAATCCTACATTATACTCTGCTGTGGATACGGACAGCTGGAGACCCCATGGCCGGGTAGTCATTCTTGTTATACTTCTTTACTCAGCCCCACCCTGGGCTGCATTGTAATCTAAGTTCCCCACGGAATTCCACTTCGGAGCGGTCACATTTACTGTCTGTTGATGAAATTTACGTCACGCGGATCCCAGCACACTTGCAGATGGAGAGAGTATAATGTGCACATTAGGGTTCGGCTAGAGACTGCTACAGCAGTGAATGCTTCTTGCGTCTCTCAGGCTGTTCAGTTCAGCCGTAGTTCAGTGCAAACTTTACAACGAAGAGCTGCAAAAATCAAAGCCTGTATTTTCACTCAGTTTCTGTAAGCACACAAAATCAGTGTCCAAAATATTTCCTAAAATTGAAAAACTTCTAGATTATCATGAAATTTTCTATGAATTGTTGACTGGAAGATGTCAGACTGTGACCATTCTGTGCATTACTGTAGGTTAGTGACAACCATTAAAGAGACAAATAGTCACTTGCAGTACGTTCATCAAACATTAAACTTCTGATAAAAACTCCACCAGCTTTTCAAGACACTGTCATCTGATCACAATCATGCAGCATCATCACCACAGCATAAATACAGAAACTACTATTGGGCCAAGTTGCACCCCTAAGTGTGTGTGGCTTCACTGAGCCAGGTTTTTACCCAAACAGCCTCTGAGAAGTTTGCTGGACAGGAATTTGGTGCACGCATAAGCAACTGTTTAATAAACTGCATTTTCAGACATAGTTTGGAGAGTTGCTCAGTCTTTTTGCACAACCCACTGTCATTGTTGCATGTTTTTTGGCAATTTTTGCACGCTTTGCGCTTTATATAGTCCCGTGCTGACTGTATGTTACATGTAGCACCATGGTCTTGGAGAAATGCTGTCTTGTTTCACTGTGTACTGTACCACTGCACACAGCTGGTATTAAAACATACTGATATTATAGATTATTTAATGTAGGCTGATGGGACAAACAATATGAATTGCTTGAATTGCCAAAGAAGCAGCCAAATACAGTGCAAAGACAACAACAGGGCTTTACCCTTTTTTTCATTTAACAAAATGCGGGTGTGTCTCCTTTTGCGCACATCCCTGTCCGCCGCAGACAGAATCGACTTCTGTGTGAAATTCTGCACTAGTTTGGATTTAATCTTCAATCTTTGGAAGCTTGAGGTGAAAGCACTAGTCTATGACTGCAGTTATCCACAGTTTATTATTGGCAAAATTCACTGCAAACACTCCTCTTCTCCTGTTTTCCTGACCTGATCACCTCTGTGTGATAACCTGCCTGATCAGATCTCCTGGCAAAACAAGCTGTTTAAAGCTGCCTCACTAAACATGAGTGACTTCCATCAGGGACTCATGTCTCATCTGATTCGGTTAAGACAGAGTATTAAAAAAAGCGCCCCTGAACTCAGCAACGAGTCAGACGGCGACATGTGCAATCTAGAACTTTATTACAACGACTGGCATGTTAAACAAATTTTTAATTTAAAATTGGTAAAACAAATATTTCTGCTGATTTACAGTAATGATTTAGATCAGCAGAAAAAAACCTGAAAGCACTCTGGTTCCAACGCTCTGTTTCCAAGACTATTAGCTGTGAGCAGATATCTGATATCATCCTAGAGATACATCCGTCCTCAGATGCATATACTGTGCCTTTACACAGTGCACCTGCAGAACCTAAACTCAGCAGACCACATCCCAGCTTCTTCCTCCTACTGCAGAAATCTTGCACTCAGTGCAGGCGGAGGAGCTGCACACCAGCTGCTGGCATGCTCAAAACCAGAGGAAGCTGCCTTTCTGCAAACAGGCCATAATAGTACTTCTAAAAAAACGAAATAAAATCACACATTACAAGGCCCTCTAGTTTCTGCACTTTCCCTTTAAGTGCCACCAAAAACACATTGATTACAACTCTCGCAAATAGAGGGTCATTCATTAAGGATTGCTAATGACACATATATATACTGCACCCATTTTGCTATCAAAACACAGGGAACGTATGGCTGCCGGTCAGAGGTATGCAGTTTTATGGTCTGAAGTCAATAGATGGAGGGATGCTCATCATTGTTTTAAACGGAAATAGAGGTGATGAGTGTTTAACCCCAATTACTGAAGTGAAGGAGGGAGAAATCAGCCTGAAATGCAAACAACATCATCGGCACAGAGCATAAAAATCCACAGGTACAGTGAAAGTAGTCACCGATGGAAAGTAGGAAAAAAAGACTTTCCAACCAACCGCTGAAAGAGACAGAGATTGCTTGGATCGGCATTAACAAGAAGCGAATACACTCGAACAGCTGCATGGCACTGCGTGCACGAATGCAGCCCGCTCCTCAAAGTAAACAGAGCAGCCAGGCTTCTCCCTGAAGCACACACAGAAAAAGCATGGCAGAAAACAGAGCCACTGAATCATGTGAGGTTATGTCCTTCATCTGACTTCACTGAGCATCAATGGAGAGGAGAGGCTGCTGCTGCTGAGGATGGGAGAAAAGGGGAGGGGGGAATGGTAAACAAGCGAGCTGGAGTGAATCAAAAACGAATGCGTCAAGATGCTTTGAAGCCCCCTGCATGTCAGAGGCTCGGTTTCCATCGGTGACTGTGGATAACCTACTTGTTTAATTAGCTTCGGGTGCTGTTTCTTCATCCCACTTGTACATACTGGATGTGTGTATATTTATTCTACCATATATAAATCGGTTATCACATTCAAACAGCCTCACCTTAGCCTTTCTATACAAACTGAGCGGTGGAGCTTAGCGAACGGGCTAAGCACGTTTACGTTCCAAAACGTCAATAATAATATCACCTGGGGAAAAGCAAAAAAATCAAAGTAATTCAATCGGTTTGGGAAGCAAGAGCGAGAATGATGAGCGAAACGAAAAAACGGTGTAACTTACCAGTTCAGAGACGTCTAATAGTCCGCGGCACTATATTCCATGGTCGTTATAATAAAATAATATGACAGTAATAAAAGACTGCACTGCTATGGTGGCCCTGCTGTCGCCGTCCTGCTCGCCGTAGCCGCTTCAGTGTGATGGCGTTGGCTCTGCAGGGCCACAATGAAACGGCTGATGCCTTCACGAGCCGTCGGATATTGTCGGCACAGACCAACTAGGGGAAAGAAGACTACATGGATCATTTGTATGGTAGAACGGGGGGGAAAGAAAGAAAGAAACTCCGTGACATTCTAAATATCTTCTGTTTAGTGCTACACTCACAGGACGTAAGACATAAAAAGTTACGGTGATGAATGTGTTTGCAAATTCATTTAATGTTGTTTCTGGAGTAGTAGATGACCGTTGGTTATTTTTCAAAGAAAAAAAAAAACACTGACTAAACGCTGGTCTAATTTGTGAAGCTTGTCACGTTTGTTTCGTACTTGTTTAATACCTTGGTGTTCTTATTGTGGCGTTTGAATAATCGATCGTTAAAATTCCGTATTTTTTAAGAAGCTTCGAAGGGCACATTCCGAACCCGGCGGTTTGACTGATAGGACGTCCTTCCAATCAGAGGAGAGGAAAGGTTTTGGAGGCGGAACAGGGAACTGTCCGTATATAGATTTCTTCGACGAACATTTCATCGTGACACACTTCGAGAAAAATTTTGTTTACACCAAAGTTATTGAATTACAGTCTTTTATTAGAATGTTAAAGCTCAATAAGGCAAAAATAAAATACATTTGGGAATAGTTAGAGACAGTGAAATAATGTGGGGCCTTTGTTGTTAAAATTTAAAATAAAAATCGATTTTTATATAATAAAGTGCTAGGTGAATGACCTGCCATGAAGTGTTTGACTTTACAAAAGAAGAGACACATAGCTGTTTGGGATGCTGTGGAGGTTTGTTTGTTTTGTTATATTGTTGAGGCGCCATCTTTTGTCTGCACATGGAGCAGCACTTTTTATCACAGTTTTTTTTTGTAATATTATTATTCCTTTAGTTGCTTCTTCTTTTGAAAACAAAATAATATAAATATTTGCTAAAATGTAACAGTAGAAATATCTTCCATGGGTATAGCGACATTAAAAACAGTTATTCAGTTGTATTTACTTATATTTTGACTAAATTAGCATGAAAAGCTAATGAGATTAGTTCTTTATTCTGTGTAATATCCCTATCTTTATTTAACCTATATGCTATAATATCTGCTGATATTGTAGCTCACTGGGCTGACTTACTGGAACAACAAATGAAACGGACCCACTGCCATCCATGCTTCTTTGAAAATGTTGAAAGGGTAGGTCAGATACTCATAGATCGCCATGAGTCAGTGATGTTATACATAGCCAGTTCTTAAAAACGCCTAATTTTTTGTCAGGTGGTAGAATCCTTCCAATTTTTACTACTTATTCTATGCCAAACCTCCTCTAGTGCTTATCAGCAGAGAAAGGAGTCTCCTCAAAGAGGCCATTTCATTTTTTTCCCCTGCTGAGCACCGTGGCCTCACACATGGAGGTGCTAATGCTTGTCCTTGCTGCTTTGCACCTAGGTACAAACAGCCCCAGTCGCAGTTTCAGATGGAGGTCAGCGCTAAACAAAGCCAGCAGGGACCCATCATCTGCAAAAAGCAAAGATGAGACCAATAGGCCACCAAACCAGAAACCTTCCACTTGCTTTGTATAGGTAATCTGTTATTAATAGAACTGTGACAAAGAGCAAGCTCTGGCATAGTCTAGTGCCGGTTAGGAACGTGTGTGGTGCTCTTGATATGAATATATAGGGACCAAATTGCCTATAACAACAACCCTGATGATGCACAATCTCAGAGCACCCTTCTCCCAAACTGCACCAAGGGATACATAGCATATCTAGACTAGTCACACACCTTTAGATGTCCTCAAGACGATGAAGAAATAGTTAAGTGTTCCACACCAGGATGAAAACTGCACTAAAAAATACATTCTGTAGACCTTTCTACAAACAGGGTGGATAAAAATGGGAATGCAGTGACACAGGCTAACTGTGGAATCAGGACAGTGGTCTAGTCTTGCTCTATACCCTTTGCTTATTTAGGTTTCTGCTTTCCAGTTGATGTCTGATGTCTTAAGGCTGATGTGTCAGTGATGACAGCCACTCTACCCTCTGCCAGCTCCTTTCAACTTATATCCTACAGCTGTTCATGTTTGGCAGGATGGAGTAACACACTGAGCTTTACTTACATACTTCTATGTAAGCAGCCCTGACATCCCATACATCAAGGAACCTTTGTCTGTCTGCTCGTCACCTATCTTAGCAAGGGGACTAGAGTAAATGGCATGTTGAGTTCAGCGGTCTCACTTTTGGGGTCTTGATAACATCATAAAAGTATGTCATGTCACAATTGTTTATGACTGCATTACAATGTCACTAGTTCAGATAATAAACCACACCTAACATGTTTGTGACACTACATTGACTATACATGATGTACAATCACCAAAATCCAGTATGGTCGGGTCATATTACAACAACTTTATCTGTCAATACCCTAGCATTATAATGCTCCAGCTGCATCAGTTCATGCTAATATACACAAGTGTAGTATTGTAGACATTAGTACATACTAATCACCCCTAGTTCACCCCTTCCCAGCATCATTGCAGATTAACCGTGGCTAGATTCAAGCATCATAAATAAGTTACAGCTAGCTGGTTAGGCTTGGCCTGCTTGTTTGTTGATATTATTAATTGGGTGTTGTCCTGACCCAAACACTCCTGGAACCCTCATCTGCTCTGTCCTCATCTTTCACAAAGGCCCAGAAACATGAATGCTTTACTTATGGAAAAGAGCATTTATGTGTCTAATAGAAACGCAGTAGTTATGGAATACTACTGGGGAAAAGAGGAGTTCTGCTACACTGGCACAGCTGCAGGCCTCACTATCTCAGCACTGGCACGGGATCCTGGTATAGACAATGGAGTGCTTCACGAGCTATAGCATGGAGGATGCTTTTGTGCTTTCTCTCTCACTGAATAGATGTCGTCTAGCCTTTAAATACAGTAGGAAACAACTTTTTTCACAACTTCTGCAACATCACTCACTGTGGATATGAAGCTCACCAAACACATGTAGTGACTGCAACTCTCCCACGGAAAGAACATTTAATAATTTCAGATCAATTCAATTTCAATTCAATTTTATTCATATAGTGCCAAATCAATAGATGCTTTATATTGAAAGGTAAAGACCCCACAATAATACAGAGAAAACTCTAGCAAGCAGATGACCCCCTATGAGCAAGTTTGTTTTTTTTCAATTTGAAGGAAAAATCACCCTTTTAACAGAAAGAAACACAGCAAAATCTCCAGTGTTAAATTAACACTAGAGAGTGTCTATATGGGTCCACTCCTCTGAGTGTTAAATACAACACTGTTGAGTGTTAAATTAACACTTTTGACAGTGTTATATGTTTAAAAGTAACCTAGTCAGTTTTGAAGATTAACAATGGCTAACACTGAGCAGTGCTGAGTTTCTAACACTGGAAAATAACTCAAAATGTTAGAAATAATCCAGTGTTAGAAACTCAGCACTGCTCAGTGTTAGCCATTGTTAATCTTCAAAACTGACCAGGTTACTTTTAAACATATAACACTGTCAAAAGTGTTAATATAACACTCAACAGTGTTGTATTTAACACTCAGAGGTGTGGACCCATATAGACACGCTCTAGTGTTAATTTAACACTGGAGATTTTGCTGTGAACCTGCTGAACTGGGCTCAGTGAGATGCAGCCATCTGCCTAACTGGGTGAGGGTGAGGGGCGAAAGACAGGACAAAGACATGTTGTGGACGAGTGAGAGAGGGAGATTAATAATAACTAATGTTTAAATGCAGAGTGATGTATGAACACATAGTAAAAAAAAAGGTGAGCGGACAATAAACAGCTAACATACTAAGGGTTGTGCACACGCAAAACTTGTTCATAACTATCAGTTAGTTCTGCACAGACTAAAGACAGCTGATGTATAACACAGTTTGAGCTTTACTCTTAAATAATTTGTTACACATGAGGCTGCTTCATCAGAGTGGTCAGAATATTTTTTAATTGTGAAAGTGTTTTCTGTACTAAAAACAAAAGTAGATTTATTTTTCTGTAAACTATGTAAGAATCTGCAGTAGTGACTATGGTATTCTAATTATTGTACACATGTGTTTAGGCCAGGGATAATGTAACTATAACGTCACTTACTGGGCCGTTTGTGGAACACTTTATGTAACATACTCATTTAATTCTGCTCCTACAAGGATAGATACAGTTAATCCTTCACACCTCATACAATGATGCTGTACACTGCAACATATAACAATATGTGTTTTCTTTCATGTTAACAGGTTAATTGAACCTGTAGCTGTATCTTAGAAGGTAGAGCAGGTAAGCTGCTAATCAGAGGGTTGGTCCAGGACACGCTGGAGAGATTATATCTCTTGGCTAGAATGGGAACGCCTTGGTGTTCCCCCAGACAAGCTGGAGGAGGTGGCTGGGGAGAGGGAGGTCTGGGCTTCTCACACACACAAAAAGCCTTAAGTAATTATTTAAAAAAATATTTATTGGTTTCAATCAATATTCTCCTTTAATATTGATGTATGTAATGTAAAAGAAACACCAGCTTAATTGACTGCATCACTGCGCCCTCTGGTGGTAGGTAAGCTACAAGGCTTCTACTGTCAACTGGTTTTATTTTACTTCTTAATTACTTATTTGACTTCTCAGCTAGTTATGGCCATGGTCTAAACCCCAGCTATTAGGTTTTGATTTGGGTTTAGTTGATTATTTTTCTTATTTCTAGATTTTCACTTATTTCTTTTTAAAAATTAATATAATATTAATACAATGATATATACTTATGTTATCTGGCCTCTTAATGACTCTAGCCTATCCTACCAGCCACACAGCTGCACCTTTATTTTTGATCTAGTTTTTATTTTTATTTTAGTCATTTTTCCTAATTTCCAATGGAAAAGCAGGCCTCTTTAAACAAGAAGTCAAATCTTTCTCCCAGTGATAAAAAAAGGCCTAAAAACACTCTTATTTTCTGGATGTTCTTTATAGATCTCTATTTATATCTACTTCATAGATGGTTTTCACAGCAGATATTTGAAATTGTATAAAATACACATGTTGCATGAATGAACCCCATGTTCCTCCAAGTAATAGCAAGAAAGAAGCAGAAGAAAATATTGATAGATTTTAAAGTCTTAGTCTCCCTTATTATCCATCCATCCATCCATCCATTCGCTTCCGCTTATCCTTTTCAGGGTCGCAGGGGGCGCTGGAGCCTATCACAGCTGTCATGGGGCGAGAGGCGGGGTACACCCTGGACAGGTCGCCAGTCTGTCGCAGGGCCAACACACAGAGACAGACAACCATTCACTCTCACTTTCTCATTCAAGAGTAGTCACTGAATCTGTTTGACAGGTTTCTACGTGAGCATATTTTTTGGCAAAAATTGTTGTTGTTGCTGTTGTTTTCAATCTTAATCATTCTTTGATGGCAGCTTCCAGCAACACTCTGAAAGTCTTATGTGTCAAACCATTAGCCAAGGGTTCATTTCTAACCTTTTCTGCTAGTTCTCCTACATGATTTGTTCCACTTCTTACTAATGACTGATGAGTTTTCACAGAATAAATTCCCCAAACAAACGTTTATTGTACAAAGAAAGACAGTAAAAAACATAACAGCTTCATTCAGACTTCTCTTCTGCAAAGTCGAAACAATACAAAAATACACAAAAACAATGCAGCTGTATATAAATGCATGTAAGAGCCTTACAAAAGATTTCAATGTTTGAATATTGTGTTTCAAGTATTTGTCACTAAGCTGTCAGAACCAATGTGACACTCACTGTTCACCAGTAAGTGTCAGCGTTTCCTCAAACACAGCTGCTGCTGCTTCTTACTGTAAACATGAGTGCAGTTTAACATCACCCATTCCCACATTTCCCACACCATTATTCTATGAAGACACTGACCATAGACTAGCACTACTTCTTCCTTAGCAAATGAGGATTTTTGTTTTTAAATGAAACTGGCTTTGTGCAAACTGCTTATAAAAGACTGTTAGAACACTGTTCAAAAAATTCACCACATACTGTAGCATTCACTTCACTAAGACAAAACAATGTTAAAGTAAGCTTACGTACATGCCTGTGTATGTACGCAGCAATAATTAAAACTGCAGACCAAACACCAGACCAGAAACAGACCACTTATAGAGATAAACCCATGAATTCATTGTATTTCATAGCCCATCCATGCTCTACAGCATAGGTGTCAAACTCTGGCCCTAATTACATTTGGCCCGTGAAGCCATACCAAATTACTATCAGAGCTAGCCTACTGGTATTATACAGCTAATATATATATTGTTTAGTATTAAGCTTTGCTTGTTCCATATTCAGTTTTTCATCAAAACTTGTTTGAGTCCATAAGAAAAGATTCATTCTTATATCTGGAGGAAGATTTTTTTTTCCAATAAATATTAATGTTAGCCCGCAACTTTGTTCCAGTTTTGAATTTTGGCCCACTGTGTATTTGAGTTTGACACCCCTGCTCTACAGTGTCTTTAAGTCTCTTTATGGATATTGGGCATTCATCAAGCCGATGTAATTAATTGCTTATGTTAATGTGCTAACAATGCCAATATTACATTATATCAGCATAAACTAGCAACTGTTTGCTAACAGTTTTGGAGGTAATGCCATGTTAGCGTTGCATTCACACCTTGCTGAGCTGCCACAACGTAACCAAACAAAAAACCATAATACATTAATGCAGTTTTACTGTGCATCCTGTGCATCCTGTTCTCCTGTGCTCCTCTTGTTCCACATTTGTAATTTTAAAGTTTTATTCCAAAATGGATCAAACTCGTTTTTCACCTCAGACTTCTACACACAATACCCTGTAATGACAAAGTTAAACCTATGGAGACCTGAAAGACCTGTGCCACTCCTTAGCAAAATGCAAATGACAGCCTACTTTGAGTTTGCTAAATCAGACCACTGGAAACAAAATTCTCTGGTCTGCTGAAACAAGGATTGAACTAAAAGCCAAACATTATGTCCGGAGGAAAACATTGTGCAGAGAAACTCCCCAGTTTACTAGATGGAGGTTCTGCATAGAAGAATTGGAGAAACTGCTCAAAAAAGCTGCGCCAAGCTTGTAGCATCATACTCAAAAAGACTTGAGGATGTAACTGCTGCCAAAGGTGCTTCAATAAAGTACCAAGCTGGATACCTATTGACATGTTTTATTTATTTATTTTTTTACTTTTAATAAATTTGCAAGAATTTGAAGCAAACTTCAATTTGTCCCTTTGCTTTTGTGATTAATTAATTTAATCCATTTTGGAATAAGGATGTGACATGACAAAATGTGGAACAAGTGAAGCAGTGTAAATAGTTTCTAGACTGTAAGTCCAAAGCCATATATCTCTCAATAGCATGTTCCAAGCAGTATGTGGTCACAGTCACACTCATGTAATATGAAAGTATGTTCAAAAAACCTTAGCAGAAATATTCAGGTATGCTTTAATGTAGCAAACAGGTGCTGTGACTGTTCAAATCTTTCATTGAGTGCATCTGCCATGGCACCAGTGTCTTGTTAAGGACTCCAAATGGATTTCAGAATAAACCTTTACAATGTATAACACTTGATGAGACCAAATCAAAACAACAAAAAAAAAATCGAATATAACACACTGACCTAGAAATGTATTTGAAAACAAATGAAATAAAAATTGTGATATAAATCTTCAGAGTTAGGGTGACTTACAGGACCTAAGTCTCATCATGACTTCCACTGGAAGCATAGACTAGACCAGTCATAGAAAACACACAGAATGTCTGTGGTTGTGTTTCAGTCCATACTGGTGTTGCAGATGTTGATGTTCTTCATAGAAGTATTGAAGATGGCTGGCTTAAGACAGCTGTCCTCCTCACTAATAAAGGAAAAAGAGGGCACTTTTTAGAAGGTCATAAAAAAAATCGCTGGTTTTCATGGAATTGTGGAGAAGATGCCCTCAGATCTACAGGCACATATGGACCCTGCAAGAGGAAGAAAGTAATGGACTCCTTGATACTGCTGGTGGTATTGCTGCTTTTTAAAAAAAAACAATTTTAATAGAATTACCTGACATTTCAGAATTAAACAAAAAGGGTGTTTTCTGGTAAAACAACATGGGTTAATAATTTAAAACTGTTCTGAAGCAATGGAGATTGATTCTACTAATTCCTACAGGGGTTCCAACTTTCCTACAGAGAAATCACAAAGAAAGTCAACGTGTCATTGAGTACAGTTTCCTTCAACATCTAAAGGCACAAGCTCCCAGGGCTCTGGTAGAAGACCTGAGCTTGGATAGGATAATATATATATTAGGGGTGCAACGATACTGGTATCGATATTGAACCGTTCCATACAGTGCTTTCGGTTCGGTACGCATATGTATGAACAATACAAAATTTGTAATTTATTTTATCAACTTTCCTTCTGACGATGCTGTCTGTGTTGAGCGCTCAGTGAATCTGCGTTCGACTACTCCGCCTAGGCTGCACTGTCCAGCGTAGATCCATTCAACACAGACAGCATAGTCAGAAGGAAGAGCGCAGGGCAAGCTAGCGAGACAGAAGTTAAGCTCTCCTTGCAACATGGCAAATTGAACCTCCCCCACCCTCATTCAAATCTGGCGTTTGGAATTATTTTGGTTTTCATGTGACGTATGACCCTGAAGGTAAGCGTGTCATGGACTAAAGTAAAACAGTATGTTGGATGTGCCACGCAATGCTCAATTACATGGGTGGGAACTAGTGTGTTAGTGCAGTTAGCTCGTTAATGTGTTGGCTGTCTAGCCCCACGCAGGGGTAGCTCGTTAACGGAGATTTTCCGTGTTGTGGCGTTAACGTCATTTCAACGAGATTAACGCTGACAGCACTAGTGGGAACACAACAAATATGACTGCACATTTACGCCGACATCATCCTAGTGCAAAGACAAGTGGAAGCAGACAAAAACAACAAGCATGCTACTAACTTTAGCCGAGTCATTTAGACAGCCGTTAGCACATGATTCTCCTTATGGGGACCTGATATGTTTAATATTGTGGCGAGCTCAGACAAGGAGGAGACTGAGGTGTCGTTTGGTCTTGCTTCCCGTGAGCTAGCCAGGGAGCACAGCCGTTTATTGACATCTGCAGAAGAACACTGCCGCTAGCTAACTGCTCAGCGCAGCAACCGCACAGCAACAGCAACACACAAGGCGCCCTCTGACCCCGGAAGGACACACCGTGGCAGCGAGAGGGCATCACCCGTCACTATGGCAACATAAACAAAACATAACTGTACAAACAGAACCCCGAACAGCCCTGACCCGCTACATAGCCCCCGCACCTAAGGGGTCAGTCGTCCCTGACGACCCCATTGCCCCACACAAAGTCCTGCAAATGTCCAGGTGCCTTCTTTTGGCGTACCGGCCGGTCACGACCAGCGGGGGAAAAGTCATTCGGGTCAGAACATGGGGTGCCACCATCATCCCACTTCTGACACCAATGTGGCGAGCTCAGACAACGAGGAGACCGAGGTGTCGTTTGGTCTTGCTTCCCGTGAGCTAGCCAGGGAGCACAGCCGTTTATTGACATCTGCAGAAGAACACTGCCGCTAGCTAACTGCTCAGGGCGGCAACCGCACAGCAACAACAACACACAAGGCGCCCTCTGACCCCGGAAGGACACACCGTGGCAGCGAGAGGGCGTCACCCGTCACTATGGCAACATAAACAAAACATAACTGTACAAACAGAACCCCGAACAGCCCTGACCGCTACAATATGCTGCTGAAAATATAGCCCAGAAGAAGCGTATAGTATAGCTTTTATTTTGGAAAGAGCCATTTCTCTGTAATAAACTCTCTTTTCCAAAGATGAGTGATTCCTCAATCAGATACAGGGCTTGCAAAATAAGCTAGCCCGACGTCCCGGGGGCTAGCGATTTTTCCAGTCGGGCTACCAAAATCTATCTCTGCCCTGCCCGTCGGCCTATTGTAGGAAGGAAAAATATATGTCAATGCTTTTGCATTCTTTCAGAAATGTAGCTGGGTAATTATGTCATTGGCATCGGTGAGCCACTGTCAATATGTGACATATTGAAATCGCGTTTGAATTTGCGCTTGTTTTTTGCTTTCACTTTGCAATCGTGCGAACTGTGTATAGAGAGCGACAGCACTGAGTGATGATAATTTGCGCACCAATTCCTCTGACATCGTCTTATCAATCGTTAGCTTACTATGCAAACATGACAAGTAAAATTTCCCGCAGCAAGCTTAAACATATGAGAGGTTGATCACGCAGAGAATCGCTGACGGTTATGTGTGTGTGTGTAAAAGCAGCAGGATATATATTTTAGTTCTGCTGAGCCAAATAAGACAGGTCAGGGTGAAGAAGTGACAGCCAAAGAAAAGCTTACCACAAAACGGAAAAGTTATGACAAATCAGACTATAAGGCAAAAAGAAAGTGCAGCTTTATGGTTTCATGGACAAAAGAATCTCTGTGGCTGCAATATGACGAGCTAAATAACCAGGGCTGCACATAAGTGGTCTGCAGGTGCGCATTCGCTGTCAAAGAAAAATAAATAAATAAATAAACGCGCACAAGATATGAAGTTGCAACGCGTGTTTGCATACATAAGATTTTCTGGAGGAGGACAGACATTTTTTTAAAACTCTTAAAGATGTCGAAGAAGCTCCTTTAAGCAATTACTTTGGTGTTCCTCTACCTCCAAAGAAATGTCAGAAGGAGTCCGAACCACAAAAGAAGCGCGTATTCTCGGAAAAGTGGTTGCAGGAGGTGAGCTGGCTTCAAACAAATGATGAACGCACAGAGATGTGGTGCAGAATGTGCCGTGAAAATCCCACTCTAGCGGACAAAAACAGCTTTTTATATGGACGCAAACGCGCGTTGCAACTTCTTATCTGGTGCGCGTCTTTTATTTTGACAGCGAATGCGCACCTGCGGACCACTTATGTGCACCAGTGTAAATAACATAATGTTCTGCCGGGTGTGTTGTTGGTTTTCTCTCGATTTCTGAGTCGACAAGCGCCTTTGTTACTGGGACCAGTCATTTTAAAAAAGGCCCCCATTAGAAGCCATGAGAAATGCAAGAAATGCATTATTGCTCAGTCTGCAATATCTTTCCCAGAACAAACACCAATTGCAAATAACATACTAAAAATAAACCTGAAAAATCTGTTTAGAACAGCGTACTATGTTGCAAAGAGTGAACTACCACTGGCAAAATTTAGCAGTCTTTGCAAACTTCAAAAAGCAAATGGCCTAGATCTTGGTTCCACTTGTCTCTTACCTGTGACTTCAGTGGAAATTTCAAATTCAGGATCTGACACAGACTGATTCATGTTCTACACAGTTCTTACAAGTTCATAGAAATTTCTGTTCAATTAGAACCAAGTGTTTGAGTTGATGATTGTCATTTTTATACAATGTTGTAATTTGTGTTTCAACTATTTTTTGATTAATGTTTTGTTTCCTTTACAATATTATACTTTAAAGTATAATATTGTAAAGGAAACAAAACATCAATCAAAAAATTGCTCTCTTTTTTATTCGGGCTACTTACATTTATTTTGGGCTACCAAAAACTGAAGAGTCCCTGCCCGAAGGGCTACCAGGGATTTTGAAATTTTGAGAGCCCTGAGATATATATATATTTTTTAATTACTTTTGTTTCAGCAACATTAAATTTAAAAACTGTACTTTTGAGTTAAAATATATATTTATAATTTTAATAAATGACAAATTAAAAAGGCATGAACATTTTTTTTGTATCGAAAAAATATCGAACCGTGACACCAAAGAATCGAACCGAACCGAACCGTGAATTTTGTGTATCGTTGCACCCCTAATATATATATATATATATATATATATATATATATATAAAGCCACTTTTCTTTTCTAACTTCCTGGAAGTAAAAGTTCTGGTGGCCGAGCAAATGTACGTACTGGTATGTACATTTACGCACATTTATTGATCAAAGAAAGATCTATACCATCATATTTAGTTCTCTTTTTCTTCCCCATGATTTCATTGCTCACAAAAAAGATGCAAGTGCTGCTTCTTGATGTGCCTCCAGGCAACACTGTGGCCTCCTTGGTGCAGCAAGTATTTGATTACATTTACTTACATTGCACTCTTATTTTGCATCTCTAACCAAAAGCAAGATGAAATTGTCTGAGACCAACCAATTCTCAGTTCTCTTTTATTTTGCTTGTGTTACTGGCTTCAGAGATGATCCTAACCTTACTCCTAGGCTATGTGAATATACATTTTCTCATCAAACTCTTCCCCTAAGCTTTGGCAATCAAAGTGACACAGATCAGCAACAATTTTCATTATTTAAAAATGAACATTTTGCCTTTCTTCAAAATATAGGGTTAGGATCAGCACCTATGATGATCTTGCTCAGGTTAAGTCAACAGTTAAGTCAAACCTGTGATTGGATCCCTCAACGTCTTCAATGCTATCAGGCAGCGGCCTGTTGGCCGTCTCAGGAAGTAGCATTGTGAGGGCTGAACCCAGCAGGGGGCAGAGGCCACACAGAACCATGGGAGCGTGAGGACTGACCCCCCTCAGAAGGTACATCATGGGAGCCAGGACGCCACCAGTGCGAGCACACATAGAGCCTATACCAATCCCATTTTGTCTGAAAAATACAATGAATAAAAGGGCCCGGTTACAGGTGCTTATTATGGATATCAATGTGATCTCTGTCTACATGCCATAAAGTTTTGAATAAATTCTGATGGAATCTATTGGGTGTGTGGAGTTGGGTCATGTGAATAATCCATCAAGATGTGGTTTACATCCACTGACGTCTTCAAGGTCAACATGATGATTTATTGGAGAGAAAAAAGGACTCATACCTTAGAAACTATGTATGTATGTATGTATTGTCAGCATATCCTTCAAGGTCAATAGAGTGACCTGAAATTCAAAGTGATAATAGTGCTATTTAAAACTATGCTTCTTACCACCATTGTTTGCACTGACAACAGTTAAGCATAAAGGGATGATATATACTAAATATTGCATTACTTTGGACCTCTGACCTCTTCTCCAAGGTCAAATTAGGTCAAACTTTGATGAAATATCTTTTATCTTTAAAAATGTAAATTCTCCTGCCTTTTTTGTATTGGTAACATTTAGGAAACAAATACTAGTGTGTGGGGATTCTAAATATCACATTATAGTTTGCATCCAGAAATAATTTCCCTTAAAAGTAAGTACTGTACCAAGAGAGAGCTGCCTTGACAGAGGTTTGCACTCTCTGAGTGCCATTGTTGGTTAATGATTTCTTATCAGACAATGTCTTTATGGCATTTGTCTTTTCTGTGGGGGGGTCGTTTCTGCACTTAATTTCCATTACAGCTATTGCTTTCTTGCTCTCACTTTCACTCTGTATTTATAGATAGTAATGTATACCTTATATTTTCACTTACACTATTCCACCTTTCTTATCTGTGAACACTCTTAATAACAAACATGTAATGTAAATCATGCATGAATCCATCTTAGTAAATGGAACAAAGCTGGATTCTTGCAATTTAATGTAGATATAGTGATTTGCTTATGCATTAGAATGAACACATGTTTGTAATACACGGCAACAGCATTCTCAGGATTAAGATACAGCCAGCAATAATCATAAAGACATTATTTTAATGATATCTCAATAATTCCAGTTGGTATTTATGGCAACAAGGTAAATCTATAAGTGCTTAAATTCACCAGATCACCAGACACCTATATAGGGTTAGGGAGGTCGGTTTTGGGTTATAATTAGGGCTGCTCGATTATGGCAAAAATGATAATCACGATTATTTTCACTGAAATTGAGATCTCGATTATTTGACGATATTTATTTAACAATAACAATGTGTTGAATAATGACTTTAAAGATTGTCAAAAAATAATATAAAATAGTGTGCAAATACTGATAACAGTTTAAATGTTTGCAATATAAGAAATAAATGAAAAATATAAACATCTATGTTTAGTGAACTTTGCAGTGTTGCTCTGTGGTGCAGCTACGACACCGTAGCAAAGTTTACACACTGTGTCTACTTGATCCACGTCTCGACTCTGCGAACCCATAATGATTCCACACCACTGAAGTTTTTTTACCTCTCTTTTCAACCAACGGCAGTCACTCTCCTCTCCAAATAACTTCTGTTTAGCTTTCCGAGCTTCCCTCGGGTCCTCTTAATCAGCGGTAGGGATGGGTACCGGTATCCGGTGCAATTATGGCACCGGTTCTGACATAAACGGTAGTAACCAGACCGAAAAGCAGCGCACATTTCGGTGCTTTATTTCGGTGCTTTTTTTTCCCTGAGCTGTGATACACTTTAGATTCTAGCCAATCATTTTATGTTTCTGAGGATAGTAAGTGGGTCCCGGTACGCACGTTCTTTTAGAGCAGAGCTACAGATTAAAAATGCCCAAGGCGAAGCGGTCAAAGTCTGGCTGTACTTCACAGCAAAATATGCAAACTCAGCAGCCTGCAACAAGTGCTTTAAGCTGATACTGTGATACTGTCAAAGGAGGTAACACCTCAAATCCGACGAAACACCTGGCGACGCATAGTGTTTTTTTTAAAAGCCGAGAAATGCGCCGTATTTGATAGCTTGCTGCGAGACCTCACACCGTGCACATCTACTGCGGGTGTGGTGCCTGTTATCGGACCCGGAGTTAGCAACATCCCCCAAAAACCCGAAGAGGAGAGTCCTGGCCACTAGCCTTGCCAGTGTAGCAGAAATGATGAGGATGATGATGCAGCAGCAGCCGTTCTTCTCTGCGCGAGTAGCTTAATGTTGTTCGTGTGTAATTTACGTTGAGTAGGCTAACCACGTTATTACATTCATGCATGTAAGGTGAACTAGCAAACATCATCTTAGCTACATGCGGCTGTCTTCTTGTTTGATGGCAGATACTCCCTTCACCCTGGCCAAAAAGGCTAAAAGGACCAAAGAAAAAGAGGGAAACAGCTAAACATGAGAGGTTTTTGGACAAAGCTTGTGTTTTTTCCATTGTTTAAGCACTGCTTCCAGCCAAGAGTGATATCATATATGCCCTATAGCTGCAGAAAAGGCTAACATTGTTATCTTTTTACAAAAAAAACAGCTGAACATGAGAGGTTTTTGGACCAATTTTGTGTTCTCCATTCTTTAAGCACCGGTTTGAGCACCGGTTTGAGCACCGTTTAAGCACCGGCACCGTTTCAAAAGTACCGGTTTGGCACCGGTATCGGATAAAACGATACCCATCCCTAATCAGCGGTCCCCAACCCCCGGGCCTCGGACCGGTACCGGTCCGTGAGTCGTTTGGTACCGGGGCCGCAAGAGTTGAGGCTCAGGTGTGAAATGTATGGTTTTCAGGGTTTTTAGCGTTATTTTGTTATCGTTTTTATCATTTACTCGGTTTTCCTGGGTCTTTTCACGTGTGTTATGAATAAATCTTTTTTTCGGTACCGGTACTAGTTTTATTTTGTTGTATTTATCCGCGACACCTTAAAGGCCGGTCCATGAAAATATTGTCGGGCATAAACCGGTCCGTGGCGCAAAAAAGGTTGGAGACCGCTGATCTTAATTGTTGTGACACGTGTTCGAAATGCAGAGAGGTGCGCTCGATTTGCCACACGGAGCAGCGCGAGAGTAAAGCATGAGGGAGGGGCTAATAATCGGCTCAGTCATTTTTAATGATCGTTGAAAGCCCAGATCGTAATCGTGATTAAAATTCGATTAATTGAGCAGCCCTAGTTATAATAAGGTTCAGTCCTGTGGGATTTTCATATATCTAAAGTAGGGATGTTAAACTCTTTATTGGCCTTAAAGTCTCTTCCTGCCAGTGTAAATATGTTCAACTATACATTAAATCCTATTTAATAATAGTATGTCTCAGTTTTTCTACATTATAAAGAAATGCTGATATAATAGCTGAAAGAAATATGTTAGCACAAATAAAAAAGCTATCAAACATAACCCAAATGCAGTCCATAATCTATGTCCTCCTTCACATTTTTCCTGTCATCCTCCTCTTCCAGCATCCTGTCAGCCAAATAGAAGTCTGTCCGGGGCTTATGTTTGATACGCCTGATGTAAAGGAAAGCCTTTAACAGGAAAGTTGCAGCGTTTTAACCACATTCTAAACTTCGTTAGCAAAACCAACTCTAACACTAACACTAGTTAGTCAGATGAGTGAGACACTTTAAGTATCATGAGTTATTTTTTTTAAGTTTTCCTAAACCTTGCTGTATTAAATTTAATCTAGCACTTCCGAAAAAAATAAATGTAAACAATTTCAACATTAATCATAATGGGACAAGTCTCAAAACTGCTCTGCAGACAGTTCGACCAGTAATCCGGTGTGCCATACATCTAAAACCTGTTGGTAAGTATTTGGGCTAATGAAGCTTTTCTATAAGCCTGATAAGCCTTTTGCCCAGGCTTTGATATAGTGATGTAGTTAATGAAAGAACTCTTCATGGGCCGAATAACTGGATTTTTGGATGAGCTAACAAAGAAACACCAAAAGTCATGTTCCGATTTCTTTGAATATATATATATATATATATATATATATATATATATATATATATTGGAAAATTATTCCAGAAACAACTTGCCAAAATGTTTTGTGTTTCCATAAAAATACCATTAGGTAACAATCACTGACTGCCTCGTCAAACTGCTTTTGTGGCACCATTAGCAGCTGCCTTTAGAAGACTCCACAGTTCTGATAATAACACAGCCTGTTGAAGTGAAATTGCTAGCCAGAACATGTTTAGCTTTAGATAGTGAAGGAACTCTTTGTGTTGTAAGACTCCCGGGTATTTGGAGGGTAACACTCACCTTATAACAGTGGGGAACACCTCAGCAGAATACACATAAATAATAGACAGAGAGGCTGTGATTCCAAACTTTCCAATCATGGCCAAGACCGTTCTGACGACAGACAAATCTAAAAGAAGATAAAAGGATGGCGAGAAAAGCTGTAAACTACATTTTTAGAACAAGTAGGGCAAAGAGTTAATCATGCACAGTCCAGCTAAGCTGTCCTGAGCGTGTGTTCATACCATCGGGGATGAAGATGGTGAGCAGACAGGCAGTGCCTCCAACTGCTAAGAAAGCTAGCTGGGAGATCTTACGGGAGCGGTTCAGGGTGAACAGGGTGATTGTGCGCGCAGGCATCTCAACCAGACCAAAAATCATCTGAGTCAGGTATATATTCATTCCAAAGTCAGAAATGTTGAGGGACAGGCCATAGTACACGAGGACATTGACAAACCTGAGAATGTAGGAGCAAAGAAAGAAAGAAACGCTTCTGCTTGAAGGGAAATGTCATGGCAAATGTCATTCCTTTGATACCTTTGAATGTATTATTTGTTGTTCATGGAAAAATTAGATAATTCCCACTGCTGTTAGTCTTTGAAGTTCCTACAGGATGATGCCAAAATAAGTTACATAGTGTAAAACAAACCCAAATCAAAGCTGGTTCACTTGGTTTTCTAAGTAATGAGCAGCAAAGCCTCACAGAGAGTTTAGCTTGTTCTGTTCATTAGTGTTTTTCCCCTTAGTGTGCGTTCCTGTTTTTCCTTTTTGTCTAAGCTGTTGTTTGCCCCTTCAGTTACTTCTTATTTTAGTTTTTATTTTGCAGTTACATCTTTATGGAGATTTTTGACTTTTCAATTTGCGCCTTTGTTTCTCACTCTTGTTCTCTGATCAAGTTCACGTATGCCATATGATTCATCTCCCTGGAGTGCACACAGTCTTTGGGTGTGTTCCAGTAGTCTGTTTTGCTTAGGAAGACTCCTAAGTGAGATAAGCGACCAAGAAGTGACTGATCCAACTCACTGGCGCGATATGGCAGCCTCTCTTCTGTCAGTCTGCCCCAGGGCAGCTGTGGCTACAACTGTAGCTTGCCTCCACCAGTGTATGAATGTGAGAGTGAATGAATAGTGGTATTGTAAAGCGCTTTGGGTGCCTAGAAAAGCGCTATATAAATCCAATCCATTATTATTATTATTATTATTACTAAATACTAAGGAAAGAAGTGCCATGCAGTCCCAGAATTCTCTTTTTTCCCCTCTCACAATCTGACAATAGAAAGAGGCAGCAAACTGAAATGTCATTTGTGACACCGGCGACAGGTCACTGGTCGCTTTGTATTATTCTGATTCAACCCCCGTTTTTTTCTCTTGCAAGCATGTAAGTTCTTCAGCTAAATTCCTAGCACAGCCAACTAAACCGCTTTATCTTTACTGACCATTCGAAAACTCGAGAAAAAGAATCTAAAGCATAAACAAAGTGGAACAACTCATGGAACTGTAAACAGCATTTTCCTTCTCATAACCTGCTTATAACCTGCAAGACTGATCTCTGAACATCACAACACTGGAAGGAAAACCACGTCTCATTAGGTTGTTGCTGCATGAAGAATGTAGAATTGCTCTTTAAAGATTATGAACTCTGTTAACTGATCAAAGTCTGTTTAAGGTTCCGTATAATTTGGTTTAAATTAGTAATGCACTTTGCTGTATTGCAGCCTTTAGGATAATCACAAGGGATAAGTGACGGTTCAGTTCATTTTTACTGTGTTACTGAGGAGCACTAAGTGGGGTTCGCCTCTAAACACTGAGCAGGAGGACTAAGTGAAGAGTTTTTAGACAGAGAGGTTTGACATAACTTTGAGCCGTGGTTCTATAAAAATCAGCCTGCTGGACTATTTTTACAACACACTGATTCACAGTAGATTTAAGGATAGTTGGAGTAACACTGCAAATCCACTTTGGTACAATTCACTGTTTGGTACAATTAAGCAATCACCATCCACGCCAGATATGTGGCCAGTATGAAAGAAATGCAGAGTAAGGTCAGCTGATCCTGATTATAGCATCAAAACAGCAAATGGAAAAAGCTTGAAGTGACAAAAACAAAGACTTTATTGCTCTGGCACAGATGACTATCTCGTGTTTCGACAGGAACAGGGACTAAAGCAACATCCGCATTTCAATTAATAGGAAATGCATCAATAAAAGCTATTTGATGACTGTGATGCTTGTGCGATAGGGCAATATGTATAAAAAAACACAGGGTTAACTGTTTCTCATCTGACTGTCAGTAAGAACTATCTGTAAACATGGATATTTTAGCAGGGCTGCAGTGAATAAACCCCTTATTGCACTGATGGATTCACATTTGAGAATTCCGTGGTGCAAAAACCAAAGGCACTCATCCTTAGCCATGAAAAATGTGATATGACAGGACATCCTTTATATTTTTAACAGGACATTTAGCCCTTAGGAACGATATAAGTCTTAATGCTTCACCTCAACTGTAAGTAGAATCAAACTAGTTCCGCAGGCTTCCACTGTAGCTTTTCATAATCAGATTAGAGGCAGAAAAACAAACTGTCAAAAAGCAAAATTCTAGACTGCAGGGAATGTTGAAGAGGCACAAAACTCCAAACTGCTTCCTATATCTTTTTAGGGCCAAAAGTAAAACTGTGCACACAGTGTGGTGTGGCTTTATTACTCGAGGGGTTTTTCCAGCTTTAATGTTGTTTTAACCCAGTGAGCTAATGAGTGTTTCACTGATTATAGATAAGCCCTCTGTGACTTGGTTCATGGCCTGCACATCCCAGCTAGTTGTGGCTTGCTGTTTTTCGCAACCTGTGTGACATCAGTTAGCAAAGATGTGCCAGAGATGCTATCAAAGTGCATTACATATAGATTAGCAAGCCAACACTACTGTTAGCTGATAAGCTCACAGTTCGACCTTAAATATTTAGGTGCCTGACTGCTACTTCAGCTGTTCTCTTTCTACTGTAAGTCTATTTTAAGCCCAGTATTTTTTTGCTAGCCAAAATTTCATTTTATGTCCCAGAAATAGATTTACCTAAATTAGCTAGCTGGCATTAGCATGAGCTAAGTGCTAATATTCAGCCATGTTATGAAGTATATCAAATAAGTTTGATTTATTTGTTTGTTTTGGGTTCAAATTCAAATAGGTCTTACATGGAGATTTTGTTCAGATGTTACATTTTTCCTGGATGAATAAGACTCAAGTATTTAGAAGCAAGACAAGCTTACTCATTTGTTTTTCCCATGGTCATTTTTTCTGTTGTTTGAAATTTGATTGAGCTTATAGCACTAATTTGTCCTTATTGCATTCCCAAATCCATGTTTCAGACAGACTCTTCAGCCCCTGTTGAGAGTTTAAAAGGTCCCCTTAGACAGGACTGAAGGCCGACATGCAGAGGTGGGGATGTGGATGATAAGCGTGAACCCTCAGGAGCAGTCTTGTGCTCAGTCTGACTCTGACTGAAAAAAACATGTGCTTATACTCACCACAGATAAAAGACAATCAGAGAGTGCTTCCTCATTCTTGGTGTTCGAACAAGGTCAAGGAACGAGTGTTTGTTCTTCGCTACAGTTTTCTCTTCGGTTTTACAGACCTGCTGTGAAACAAGCAAGACAATAGGTATCAGTGTCTGTGGTTGAGGGTGCAAAATATGTTCAGTAGTTCTGTTTGAATAGTTTGCATGTTTAAATGATACCCACTTATCAAAAAACACATGAAAATAAGTAGTGGCTCCTGAATAACAGAGGAGGATAAAAATAGAATAGCAGTGTCATAGAGGGAATATTCTCACTGCTAATAAAAACTATCCTTGACATTCATTTGTAATGAAACATTATTTATCTTTGCTTCTAGTGCTTTAATGATATCTGCTCTAAGCTGTGTTTAATTACCTTCCTACCTACAACACTACAGCTGAGTGGAAAGCCACGTCTGTATAAAGAGCGTAGCATGAGCAGCACGTTAGCAGAGCTGTGTGTGTGGAAACAGTTATATTTAGTAGCACTGAATAAAAAAAGAAATGCACAAGGTGTAAAAATACATTGAGATGAGCTTCTGTGCAAATCCAGTAGTTGATTTGTGTTTTATTTTTACTGAGCCTGTGCACTTTTCCAGTAATGGTGAAAGACGGCTGGCTCCTGCTGACAGATGACGCTGTATATGTGCTTGTCTGAAATTGATTCACACAGACTTTTGACAAAACCTGTGAGTGTCTGAGACCATGAGCAGGGCTTGAAATTTTAGTCAGTGATTTCTTGCATTGTAACATGAAAAAAATGGGAAATGTGCGGTTATATGACCATCCAAGCAGCTGGTTCACATAAACCTTAGACTGCCATCGGGACACAAGGATTTACTGCACATTCAATAAAGTCAGAGATATTTCATGGACCAGACGCCTGTGGTTTTTGTAGTTTTCCATATGTCTTTTGCTGAAACCGCAGATGAGAGTGAGCAAACAAAAAAGAGATTCTGTTTGCAAGTTTTCTTTTAAAACCTGTGAGGTGTAAGTAATGACTATATTTTGCATATTCTATAGGACAAATTCAGTTCTAACAAAAGATGAAGAAAAGCGCCACAAGATGCATAGATGTTAAACTGGGTAACTTCAGAGGCAGACTTCTCTCTACAAGCCAGATATTTCTAAAGTTCATATTAGTGTATATACGTTTATGGAAGCCCATTTCTGCCACAAAAAACAAACAAACAAAGGATCCATAACTCGAAATTTAGAGTTATTTTCTCGAAATTTAGAGTTAACAAGTTAAAATTTCGAATTAGTAAGTCGAAATTTCAAGAAAATAACTCGAAATTTCGAGTTATGGATACCTGTTTTTAGGGGTTTTTTTGGTGGCGGAAACGGGCTTCCATATTCGTTTGATCAAACACATGCAAAATGGGGAATTTAAAAGCTCTTGAAATGCCCTGCATTATAGACACCCCATTAATCTCAGGGCCAAAGAGCACATTTACTAGCCAAACTGGCTAGTTTTTAGACTACCATTAAGGAAAAAAGATGAAAACAAAACACCTTCAAAATCTGTAGTTTTATTTTTTTTCTAATCTGACTCCAGGAAAATGTACACTTTCAAGAGCCTACTGCAACTTTAATAAAGAACCTTAAGGGCATCATGTCTGTGCAGTGTACTATGCAGAACCAAAAAAACCCTCTTTTTTTTTTCTAGACTTGGAAGTATTATTAAGCTTCCTAGCACTAAATAATGCTGTAGAGTTTAACCAAACTGATAGCTGAGCACTTTACCCCCTTGTCAATTAATCCTCCAAAACAGTATTATTCAGGCTTCAAAAAACAAAGGGCAAAAAGCAGTGGGTGATTTTAAAGTGGCTACATCCACATTCAGTGACAAGTTAGTGGGGACAACTTGGCACCTTCGTCCTCTTTTTATCAGCATCAGAGGAGCACCATTTAAGTCTTGTTCACACAGGGAGTAACGAGATCACACAGAGTCAATGAGTTTCAGCAACTTCCGGTGAAGATGGGAAAATAACCACTTATTGATGCGAATTGGGCAGGTAGGCGAGATAACCTTTTTCAGCAGTGGCTCCTTGCAGGATACTGGTGACTTACAAATGACAGAGTAGTAAATACATTACAGGGGCAAACAGCAACTGAACATCGGCTAGCAACCAACCACAAAGACTTTATCTCTTCCACCAGGGAAGTGTTTTTTAAAACTAAGTTAATGCCATGATCCCAGGTCATTTCATTCATTCATTTGATCTTTGAGTCTTCATTCATTCGTTGTCCGATCGTCTGCTGTCCTGCCGCATTATGCCATATTTCCAGGTCTTTGTGGATTCATGCCAAGTTGTCAGGTTTAAGGTTTTTTGCATGTTTATTTTGTCCTCGCCAGGTTTTTTCATGTTTAGGATGCTTCATGTTTTCGTTCAAGTTTTCCCCAGTTTTAGGTTATTGCTTAGCTTCAAATTATTTTTGCCCTTTTATTTTTTGTACTGCTCAATAATGCCATAATAAACGGCATGTTTTCTGTTAGAATCAAGTTTTGTTTTTGCGTGTCTGCATTTGGGCCCTCCTCTTCACTCCACACAGTCTGCATCCGCACACTGTGACAGTTAATAATACCTTTTTCTTTGTTGTCATAAGGCTCATATAAAAAAATAACATTTGCTGTAGTTTGCCAAAGCTCACTCCAGAATAGTGAGAGAGAGACAGATTTAATTGCATTTGGAAATTTTTTCACGTGTCTCTCATCTGTAAGGCCCAAGACTGTTCGCTTTGGCAAAACAGTTTTGCAGCTGTTGCTCACTGAATTTGGCAATTTTTGTGTTAGGTGTTTACTTAAAGCTGAAATGAATATCTGGAAATCTATAATGATCATCTAAGCACTCATGTAGGACAGCTACTTAATGAAGCTACTTAATTTGATGGGACTGTTAATCAGGCCAGTGCTACATGTGTTACTAAGGATACTAAGAACTGCTTAGTCAGCAACATGAAATGGCAAGTTCCATAATTTCAGCTCACGACAGGAAGAGAAACTTATTTTTTTAAGAGTCTATCACCAAAATGAAAAAAACATGTTTTCTCACTTCCTTTCGGTGGTTCCTAAATTTGCTATGTATTCGTTTTTTCAACATTTTCGAACTTTCAAGGTTTTAGTGATGCCTCCCTGATGGTACTGTTAAATTTGATAGGATTCCAGACATCATCAGTTTATTTGCAGTACTGTGCATGTTAGGGAGACCAAAAAGACAAATGCAGTGTCTAACCAATATGAAGAACCAAGAGTCCAGTAACAGAATAATCTCAGCTTTAGACGTATCTAAATATTTAGAATGTGACAAACTGTTTTTTGTTTTGTTTTTTTAAATCTTGAAATCTTCTGAGATCTATGTCACATAGGCTAATCCTAAAATTTGGTGATAGGAAAAAAAAGCTTTTTAGATCTTTGATGAACAAACTAAATTTTTATGGTCTCTTAAATTTTTCAATGAGTTGACATAGAGACCTTAGTGTGCAGTAAGACCATGAGTAGTAGCAGTAGACTAGTATTAGTAGGCTTAGTGGCCCACCATCAGACATCTGTCAGCACAACACTCAATGTCAGTTTCGAGTGTTTGCTGTATTCTACAATGACAGCTGTAGAAAAAAAAGCTCATGTGTAAGAGACAGAATTAACCTGTACCTGACACATCTCCAGGTCTTTAATGAGGGGCTTCCCGTTTATCTGCGCTGCCTTCTGGATCAGTTTCCATGCTTCTTCTGTCCTGTCATTGGCCATTAACCAGCGAGCAGACTTTGGCAAAACCCTAAAAAATATATTACAGATAGTTGTTCTTTACACACATACTTGACTCTCGATGCCTTAATTGGAAGCTATGACTTGTCGCATCACCTAATTCTCAAACATCTTAGTAGAATTCAGCTATTATTGACTGTAGTATTAAAGTATTAAAGTAAGGGACAAACAAGAAGAATTCAAAAGTAGGTCAGCGTGTTTTTCTGTAAGACCACACTGGCTTGTGAGGAATTTCATATAAATCACAACAGTGAGCATTGGCTGTAGTTTTATTTTCTGAACCACAGTGTTCAAAAACTCAGTCTGTTGTTGATTAGTTCCCTTCTTTCTTTGCTTTCTGATACTTTTACCAAATCATTATTGGAAACTAGTCAAAATTCTAGGCTGGGCTGCTCCACACTCACCAGATGTAGAAAATAAAGAGGAAGCCAGGTGCGGATATAGCCAACTGCAGTTTACGCCAGTCTCTTATGAGATACGCCACACCGGCCAGAAAAATGTAGCCAAAGCCAAAGAAGTAGTCTGTGATTATACCCGCCAACATCCTCTGTTTTGATCCGGTCCATTCTGTGCCTGTGCAGTAAGAACATATTAATACACAAAGCTTGACACACAATACAAAATACTATATGAAAGATATACCAAAAATAAATAAGTAAAAACATCAGTCAAGTCTTTGATTAAAACTACTTTCTATTTTAGAAATGTCACTGTACACGTACTCTAGTACTTTTTTTTTTTTTTTACAAATTTAACCTGCATGTGCCAAAATGGTGGAGTGCCACCATTAAAACTGTGGTTGAGCCCAAGTGTTCATTCTTGTTAAATTATGAGAGAAGAAACTATTTTCTCCCTTCATAACATCTAATGGTAAGTATAAATGCAGGTTTTAGTTTAGGTTTATAATGCCATGCTTTGTAATCTTGTAAGCACTGTGCACCACATTCATTTATCTTCAAAGTAAAGAAGGAGAAGCAAAAACTGTACGTAAAACCACACCAGTCTAGCCAGTATAGGTAACGTAACATGTTTTTGTAATGTGAGAAAACTTTTCTTTGAATTACTTCCTTTTAATTCCTTTGAACAACAACAATTCATATAAGTTGATGATCTTGGTCAAAGGATAATACACATATCGTGCTGATCAGAATTTTTATCTGCACTATTGACACTTCAACAGTGAAGACATTTAGCATCTTGTTTAACTTCTGTTTTCGTGTAACCACTGCAGGACACTGACCAAGGACAAAGGCATTCATGATAACACCAGAGATGGATGTTCCAACCATAAAGCGAAGGGCAGTGTAGATGTAGAAATTAGGTGCGAAAGCAGCAGCGACTCCAAAGATAGCCTGGCTAGCTAGGTTGACAAGGATAATTATCCTGCGACCGTATCTGCGACAAAAGATTTCAGAAGTTAGTCATTCCAGTAAATGACACTCAAAAAATTCTACCACTACAAACTCCTAAAAGAGTAAAGTACTTTGTATTCAGATCAATAGAGCTCTGAAATGGGTATGCTATGTTTAACTTACTTATCAGCCAAGTGTCCAAACACAACCGCTCCAACAAGAAGGCCAAACATGTAGATAGATGAGCCCACATTGTTCAGGCTGGCATTATCGCACACCAGGTCCCACTAGGAGGAAGAAAAGCAAGATGTTTCATGAAAACTCTTAAACAGTGGAAAACAGGCGCAGTGAGTGGCACATTGGTACAAATGCTTTACTTTGAAAGGGATTGGAGACAATTCTGTGATTTTAAACAGCTAGAATACAAATTGATCCCCACAGTCACCCTAGACAAACCCTTTACTCAAGGACATGATATCTCAGAAAGATTGGATGTGATCATCATGAAATTTGGCGAGATAGCAGGAGACGTTTATGTCCCTCACAGAATAAGGTCTAATGATAGTGTTGGCACTAACATGAATCTTTCACATTTTTTTAAGAACTCGGGAGTCATTTAAAACATTATTTTTTACTCTTGGACCTTGAGAGAGCTTGATCACATAGGGATATGTAAGGAAAACTGCACTTTGTTAAAGCCTTGTGTCACCTGACTATAATTTCAGTGGTCACCCAGAGAGAAACTGTTCATGTAGAGAATCACTATCTTTGGTGTTGTGGCACTCTCCCGTAAATTTGAATTCAGGAATCTTTAAGTTGGGCAGCACAGTGATGCAGAAAGGTCACAGCAAGAAGCCCTAGGTTCAAATCTGACATTTGGTTGAAGTGTTTCAGTGTGAAGTATGGATGTCGCCCTCGCGTTTGCATGTTTTGTCCACACAGAGTCCAAAGACATGCAGCTAGTGGGGTTAGCTTAATTCGTGATTGTAAATTGGCAGTAGGTGTGAACGTAAGTGTGAGTGGTTGTTTGTTTCTCTGTGTTAGCCCTGCGACGAGCAGTTAATATGTCAAGGGTGTACCCCTCCGCTCCCTCTATGGCAGGTAGGATAGGCTCCAGGCCGACCGTGATTCTGAGTTGGGTAACAGGAAAAAATGGATGGGTGGATTCTTTAAGTTCTGTGTCTCTCTTGTTCAGTGTCTCCAACTGGATATCTGTGGTAGAGAGAACTCTGCAGCCTTTCATAAACTTCATTAACTTTGTCTCGACAAAAGGTGCTAGAGCGTTTGTAGGACGCTCTAGCAAAGTGCTCTTTGGTTTTAGAACTAACATTACAGATCAGTGAGGTCCTTTATAGCATAAAAAGCTAAAATGCTCCAGGCCGACATACATCTTCTAATCGAATGATGAGTCGATTGTCCTAAATCAACTGCACTTAACTCATAATTTTCTCCTTAGTTACTGTATTTACTGGAGATGAATTGTGTCTTACATGTGACAGTGCCCTGTCCAGTTACATCATTTTGGTCATGTAACTGCTGCTGCTCCCCGCCCCTCACGTGTATGTTTCAAAAACATTATCCAAGTATGTAGGGATGCCTAGAGGGCTCTGCCCTGCATGAGTCCAGCTCTCAACTGTAACCCCATTCACCCCTGTCTCAAATGTCACCAGAGGCCATTGTAATAAAAGTGTTAAGTCTCTCCACATTCCGTATCTCCATGCTGAACACATCTGGGTTTATCCAAGAGGCTGCTGGATTTACACTCACCTCAGTTACTATAGTGTTTTGAAATGTCTCTGTGCTGTACTCCCAGCCGTCCGGGCAGCTCCTCCGGGTAGGATGTCCATTGCCAAGAGATTCAGCACTGCTGTGGTTTAAAGGGACGGTGCAGGACAGGTCAAGTTGTCCATCACGGGTGGTTAGAAGGCTGAAGTTTGAAGAGGCTGGAGTCCCCGCTGAGAGCCCGGGAAAGCGGCATAAATGAGGAGGGACTGCCCCGGTGAAGACTGAAACCAGCATGTGGAATGCCAGAAAGATCTGAGGTAGACAGATCCACACATATAAGATCTTCTGGAACTTCCCAAAGCCTCCGATAACAGAGAGGATTTCATCAAAATTCATTGTGCTGACTGTTGGTGAATGCACAGTTAAAATCTGCCTTATTATAACTAATCGGATCTAATTCAGAAAGTCCAAAAGAGCTCCTAAAATGAAGCTGGAATACATGCACAAGCAGACAAAGCTTCAGTCAAATGTCTAAGAAAAAAAGGCTGGAATTTATGCCTGTGCCAGGCTGATGATTAACAGGCAGAGTCACTCTCATTCATATGCAGTCACACCTGTGCTGCGCCGCACTCTAAACAGCAACCTGTGGCTATCTGTAGGAAAGTGTGCAGCTCTCTGAGGGTGATCTAACCTCCGAGTGATGGGAGTGAACCAAAACAGGAGGGAGGAGGTTCCTCACTGTGGGAGGAGCTGCTGTGTAGTGGGCTGCTTGCCTTTTGACTCTCCGCCCCTCCTCAAAAAGTTTCATAAGAATAAATTAGGTAACCCGTTTTGACTTTTTACCAAGAATTTGTGGCTGTCTCTCCCAGTTGACAAACAACTTGATTCAGCTGAATTATTTGCCCAGCATTTCTTGCAGCAATAAATGCGGATCAAAAAAAGTTCTGTTTGTTTATGAGAAAACCCAAAGGCATCACATGGCTCCTCAGTTTCCTGTATTTCAGTTGTCAGACTAGTTCAACTTGTTGTCAGTGTGACTGAAACTGGGGGGGAGGGTGTCTTTGGTGGTGAGGCAAAGAAGCATTACCCATTTCAGAGCACTATTGAGGAGGAATTAGAGCTGCTTTTTTATGCTACTCCATCACTAGCTCACCACTTCCCAAACACATCCAGTCATCTCTTGGTTTGTGCTGATGATAATATAGTTTAAAGAACCTCGATTATTTCTCCGGGGAATCCTCATGCATAGTAACTTATATGCAAACTGGAACAGAGCTCCCAGGGGGTAATCTGAGAAGACTGGCATTCTTTGATTAGGCGTGGGGCTCCCGACACTGTCAGTGGGAAGGACAAGAAATTACTTCAGGAAGAATAGAGGAGTAGTTACACATAATGATCAAAAAAGACCAGAGGCAACTCAGTACAAGCCCTGCTACTGAATTCTAAGCAGGAAATACAACTCCGGCACTATTACATAAATGCTACTCGTCACTTTCACAGAAGGAAAAAGTAGCGTAAACAACTTTAATTTTTCAAGAGCTTCTAACAGTGTTCATTTCTGTGCCACCTGCACTGCCACTCATTCCACATTGCAGCACCATCTTGTGGTTACATGGAAACAAATGGAACTGTACAAAGCTGCAAAGAATCAATATATTTTCAATACTGGAGCTTTTCTGTAGTCAGTGTGGACAGTGTGTCTAATTAAATGTTTCTGCTTTGAATGGTCGACCCCAAATATTTAAACTCTACCAATTTCAGTATTCACCTTTTCATCTGTCTCGCTCTCATTCTTAAACATCTATCATACCCTCAACAGTTTCATTCCTCTTCTCGCCAGAGCATACCTCCATGTATCAGTACATGTCTTCTCCATTCCTGAGATATCCTCTCATTTTCCAATGTTGTGTTAGCCAGTCTCCATATCTCAACAGGTATATCTGGACTAACTGCCTTTTTCATTCATCACCCTTTTCATAGCTGCCCCCACGTCCTTCTTACTAATCCTCTGGGCGTCTTGATTCTCTATCTTTCCTCCATCCGCATTCCCCTTTTTCTCATTTTCTCATTGTTTTCTATGTAAAATGTATGTAAAATCAGAAAGCATTGATGCTAATTATTTAACATCTATAACAACATCTTTAACAAGAAGCAGTTCAGAGCTGATCCCGAGTGTAATCCCACCCCCAGTTTAAACCCATGTGTAACTCCTACCATGCACCCCACAAAGAAGCCAAAGGATATTTGTATATTTTGTATAAAGCAGTTTTTTGTGTGTATGGATGATGTGTTGTTGAAGTATGTTGATTGCCAATGAAAATATAATTTCACATTTTAAAGGTCAACATGCAAGTAGCAACCCACTTAAAATTAATTTACAGCTTTTTCATAGAATATCTGTTTATTTGAAGCCAAATTGGAAAGCTCCTGAAAGGAAAAACTGTAATGCCAAACTGTGACAGAACTGAAATGCTTAGGTTTTGAAAATCAGCCTGTTTACCATGTGGCTTAAATAAAACTCAACACTAATCAAAGACAGATCATTTGTGATGAGGAGGGAAAAACACAACCAAAAAAACCCCCAAAAGAAAAACAAATGTTATGACTAAATTTTTTTTTTTATCTATGCATATGTATGTTCTAATTACTGTAGGGTTAACTATTCATCATTGAATCATGATGGAAACTAACATGTTTTAGTGCTCTTATGGTGTATAAAAAACGTTGCCGGATCAAAAAGCTTTTCACACTTTTCCACTGTGAGAAGGTGTTCCTTTGCTGTTGATAAGAATGTAACTACATTACTGTGGTAGATAATGACAACTTGAACATGTCTAAACTAAAGAAATGTGAATGAACGGCAATGCTGATCCAACACATTAACACCACAACAACAAAAATAAATCCACCAGACCCAAATACCCCAACTAAATTTAAGATCCTCTAAAATTTTATTTTAAGATATCAGAGGATTACACTCAGTTTTCAACATCATAATACCAGATATCCTGGCCACCATACTGGACCACCTTCAGATCCCCCCTGCCACCTGCTCCTGGATCAAAGATTTCCTTACCAACCAACCAACCTCAATCAGCCTGGTGGAATCTGTCTCCACCTTCAGGTTTCTGCGCACCCAAATCTCAGGTGATTTCACCTGGACCCACAACACCATCACACTGGTAAAGAAGGCCTAGCAACAGCTGCACTTCCTCTGTGTCCTGAGGAAGAATAAACCTCGGCCAGAAGCTGCTGCTGGCCTTTTACCACTGCCTGGGTGTTTGCAGGGGCCACAACTGTGAACAAGAAGGGTGCTCAGATGGTAATTGGCTCAAAAACTCATTGGCTGACCTTTGCCAACCCTGGAAGCTATTGCCACTCATGCCACTCACACAGTGGCATGAGTGGCACTCTATACTCTCTATACCCAGACAAGTCCTTTTTCACTGCTTCCTAGCACTTTGTTCTCCAGTGTGTGCCTTTCTTGTTTTGTACATATTCCTCTACTCCTTTTGAGTGTTATGAACATGGGTGAATTACTAGGCCATGGGGGCACATCCCTTGGAACCAGTAGGGGCTGTTACCCTTCATATTTTCATTTATTTATTTATTTTCAAAGTTAAATTACACTTAATACTGACCCGGGTTATATAATCACATGTATCTGGCTAACAACATATGGAAAGCACAGACAGCATAGATTACATTTGGCCGGTTGGCAAATTGAATTGTATTAGTGGGTCCAAGTTCAAGGCAGGATGGTGGCTTAGCCGGCAGAGAGAGAGACACTTGCTGAACCCTCTGATGTCACCTGTGGTCCAGGGTTGAGGAATATTAAGACAATTTAAGGCCTCCTGTTAATGACTTTGCTTTAAAGAATACCAGAATGAACTTTGCTTTAGGTAGGTGATTTTAAAGCTTGCACAGAATGTAAAAGAATAGCAGAAGAAGTATAATCTCAAAGTAATGTGCTACAAAACTTTGAATGCGTAGGTGTGTAGAACGTTTGTATCCAAAGTGTGTAGTCGTGATAATCCTCCCATGATTGCAAGTACAATAGCCAGATACTCACAGAGTGCATGATATTGTAAAGAGGCTTATGTACTAAACATTAGCATATGGAAGTATGCAGTTGAATAAAGGCTCTAGCCATGGTTTTGGTCAGTAACCCTAGTAATGCCAGTCCCACTATGGTGCTACACATAAACACTAGCGAATCACCATCACTATTAAGATTCATTCACTTCAGACTACTACAAAATCCAATTTAAAGCTGTTCTGCAGCAATGGAGGTTGATGAAGCCTTGAAAGCTGGTTCTACTAATTCCTACAGGTGTTTCAACTTTCCTGGATTGGTTACAACCCCCTCTGTCTGCATAAAAGCATTGTTGGAAGACATTGTGGTACCATAATCTCGTTAGAATCGGTTGAACAGTATTGTACTGCATGAAACACCATCATTGGGCTACTGAATACTGGAAGAAGGTATTATGGACTGGTGAATCAAAATTGGAAATCTTCGATTTTTAATGATCTTTGCAGGCAGGATCTTTGTACGCTTTCAAGTAGGCGAAAGGATGGTTCCACAGTGTGTGGCATCAACTAGCATGTTGAAAAAATGCTAGAAAGAATGCCATGTGTGATCAGCTGTCATACCCGCCAAAGGTGGCTACTTTGATGAGTCACAAGTTTAGAATACATTTTGGTCTATAATTTCACGATTTTTATTCTTTACTCAAATTGCTTATTTAATGTCATTTCAGACTGCAATTAGACATCAAACTCCATCATTTTCAATAAAACACTGGAAAAATTGGGCTGTTCAAAAACTTTTGACCGGAACATTACTTTGAGTGCACAGTGCACAACTGAGTGTAAAGGTGCTATTGGGGGGGGGGGGGGGGATTAAAATCTCACTGCTGGGTCCAGACCTCCTCCAAACTGATGTTTATTTACCTACAAAGAAATGAGCAGTCTCCAATTGTTATGGCAGTTTCATTTAAATTAAGAGAGACAGAATATCCAGAGAAAATGACATAAAAGTTATAAATTGCTTTCAGACAATCCAACAGAGGATTCAGGAATGATTTCCCCTGCGGTATCAGTAAAAGAGACCATTAATATCTCTACAAGATTTTATAGCAACACGTTGATTACTTGTAGTTATAGAATATATATAGTTACATTGCGACTAGTTTTTAAAGTTGATAACGATCTGATGACATTCTGGCCTCTCATTGTTGGCAGTACTGGTAGTACAGCACGCAGTAGCAGCAATACGAGTATTATCAGTGTTTCCATATGAAATCTCAAAGGACTGCTGGTTTTAAGAGAATGTAGGTGGAGAGCTAGCTATGAGAGGAGCCTTTATACTCAGTGTAAATAATAATGGAATGTGAACTCAAATAGATGTCAGTCCACATTAGGTGAAGCACGCAGCTTCAGCACCGCATTAAATAAACGGCACAAAGTGAATGTGTCAACTGAGAAGACTTTTAAACATGAAAGTAGGTTTGTTAAGATGTTATGTACAATAGTAGCTTATAACACACACGGTTTAAAGATTTAACCCGTATTTTCATTCAGGTGTGAGTAAGGCTAAGGCTAAGACTATGGAAGTAGGCAGGTTCTGAAGGCTGTGGAGCGACCCAGCATCAAATACTTCCCCTCTGGATCAGTGAAATGGGGGGAAAGGTGTGTTTGAGGAGGGACAGAAGGGTGCTTTGTGGCCTTCCCCAGTCAGGTCAGCTCTCGCAATCTCTCCCTACCCCACCCCATTCCAATCCTCTCCCTCTTCCAGCACCCAGTCTCCCTCCCTCAATCCCACCTTCCTGCTCCCTCGTCACCCCATCTCTCTCCTGGATCTCACACAAACCTTGACCACTTGAGAGATGCTACTGCTTCTCTGCCATTCCCTCCTGCTCATCTTTGCTCAACAGGTAAGAAGAGCACTACCCTTTCACCTTTTTTTCCCTCAGACTGCAGATAAGACAACACTCGATGCCACTCAGAAACTGCTATATATAAATCCAGAGGAAAGCAGTCAGCTGGGATACCTGACTGCAAGTGAATACCAAAACACCCCGTTCAGAATTGACTGTTTGATAGCATTATTTGTATGTAGGCTTTAGTAGTTTACTGGCTTTAGTGTAGGGCTTATTTTAGAAGCGTGAAGTAAGAAAAGATGACAAAATTGGGAAGCCTTTGCAGTTCAAGCTCCCGTGGACTCATTTTCACACCATGAAATGAGCTCATTCAGCAAACCTGGCAGACAGGCTTCAGATTTTTGCCATAACCCTCAGTAACCCTTGGAAGCGCTGAGAGACCAGGGGTATTTGGAGCACAAGTGGTGCCATGGCTGGATTTCATCACAGCAAATACCATCAGGTAAACATGGACATTCAAGGACTGGAATATATTGAAATATCTAAGACATTTTGGCCTCTCACTGCTCTGAGCTCTGTGCAGTGTGTCACTATGTTAGATGTTGAATTTTTTGGCTGTCATGCTTTGTTGAAAGGTTTCTTATAGATTTTTGTTTCTATTTTGAATTTTTGTTTTGTTTTGCACTTAGCAGTGAAAAATACAAAGCAAGAAAGACTGGGAGGAGCCGAGTTCCCCTTAACCAGACTGTCCCTGCACAGTTACAATGACAATGCTAAACTAGAAGTATGATGGGTATTAGACATGTCTAAGCCTCAAACCTGAAAGTGTGTGTGTGTGAGAGAGAGAACAAATTTCAATCTTTTCTGATAATTATTAAAGATGATCAGAAATTAAGTGGCTAAATGTGTTTTAGCTAAAGCTAACACATGGATCTGAGTAAAGCCACTGCAGTTAGGATTTTACTCGTGGTTTTTAGACACAGACAGTAAAGATAGATAGGTTTAAATACCTGAAGTCAACCATCCAAAGCAATGGACACAAGAGAGATGAAGAAGAGAAACCGGCAGGGTGGAGTGGGGTGGGTGGAGACGGGTGTTAAGTGTGATTTGTTACACACTTAATACTTAAAGATAGCAGTGAGAGGGAAAGGCAAGGGTTACAAGACAGCAGGGAGACCTGCTATGATATATGGTTTGGAGATGGTGGCACTGACCAAAAGACATGTGCACCACTCTAAATAAGGGGTACATGCACTCACTGCACCATAAAGTCATATCCTGTTAGCAGCTTTAGAGAAATTTAGAAAACATGTACTTTTTAGAACAAGTATATTCAAATAACTCAAATAACTATTATCCAGCGTAAAACTGCCAAATCAAACATGTGGACCGGCCTGCTGTGGTGTGTGTGTATAAGAGAGAGAACGAAAGACAGAGTGAGATTTTATGTCTGCTCTAGTACAACGTGGCAGTAAGGGACCCCAGGAAAAAAAACGCCCCAGGGCCTATCATGGAGTTACTACTCCTGTGGCAATGAGATCATTTTTCCAGTCCAGGGGAAAAACTAAAAGCACCTTTGAGGCATCATCTGTCTCCTCACTTTCATCTCCCTCAAGCTGGGCTAAAAGATATCTGACACAAAATATTGACCTTGGCTGGTAAAAAGCACTACAGTAAAATGCAAAGGCATCTTGTTCCTTTAGTCTCCCATTAGAGTGTCTGCACTGAACACTAAAGAGTTCTACTTTAACATTTTCCAGAGTAACTAAACCTGGTTGGACAAGGAGGGTCCAGAAAGATGGGTGTGAATGTAGACAGGAAGCAGATAGACGTTACTGGTACATGTAAACATTTTATTATTTGAACTGTCAATTTATTTAAAAAAAGCTACTGGTTCGAGGAGCAGCGTTTTTTACTGTACATTTCCCCTATCATCTCCATCATAATAATAAAATAAAAATAGTACTGCCAATTCAAAAATTTGACTCTTTCTGGCTGTTTTCCCCTCAGTGCTTCAGCAGGGCGCAGAACAATGGGCAGCTGCAAGCTCCTCAGGGTGGACGGGCTACGACAGAGAGACGCCAATTCTGCCAGTGGCCCTGCAAGTGTCGGCAGAGACCTTACTGTGCCCCTGGTGTCAGCTCTGTCCTGGATGGGTGCGGCTGCTGTAAGAGCTGCGCCCGACAAATTGGAGAGCCGTGCAACGAGAGGGACGTGTGCGACCCACACAAGGGCATGTACTGTGACTTCTCCGCAGACAAGCCAAGATACGAGGTTGGAGTGTGTGCATGTGAGTGGACCTGGTCTTTTACTTGATTGCAGGCAGGGTTGCAATAAAGAGTCAAGGGGCCCAACACAGGTTTTAATCAGGCTTCCTTAGTTGCACTGCAGCAGTGACTCATGGTCAAAGCAGCCACTCATTTTACTCGGATCCTTCGTTATTATGTCCCTCCATCTTACCACGTTTGTTTCATCTTCCTCGTGGGGTGATCGTGGCTCAAGAGTTGGTAGTTCGTCTTATAATCGGAAGGTTGCTGGTTCGAGCCCAGCAATGCAATCCATTATTATTATAAACCTTTACAAGCTCGTAAAAAGATTTGTAATAAATATGAATGAATGGGCTGCTGTCAGTGCTTGTATGACCAGTGTGCAGCAGCCTTTCAGATCGGCGCTTCGGCCCACCGGGAATAGGGCCATTGTGCCAGATTACCAGTCCAGCTCTGATTACAGGGGTACATGCTGCTTTACTTCCTACAACTATGGCAGTGTGATGCTGGCTGTTGGCAGGTGGTCAAACATTGTAAAAGTTGGACATGGCTATAGTAACATCACCCACTGGTTTGCGTTTTAGTATTTTGAAGCCTTGACTTTAGCTTCATAGACATGGCCATCTTCATTCTTTGCAGAGCAACTGTAATGGATGGATATACTTTTAGACCACAGGTTAAGTTATAAGCTAATGCTAAGCTGCATCCATAACCGCACAAGTGCAGACTGGATTATTTTTAACTAATGCAGCTGATAAATATAGCTGCACCGTAGCTGCTAATTAATGCTGACAAACCAACAAAATATTTGAATTTTATTATCCAAAAACTAAAGACTTCCTGAGAGAATGGTCTGTAGCACACAACAGCCTATAATAATCATGATCAAACTAACCTCACCTCTCACTTTAAGCTTTAATACAGCTCAAAAGTTTAGTTATTGAAAATTTATGAAGGGAAATATTAGCTACTGAGACCAAAACACCTTTCTGTACCAACTTATAAACATGTTTTTGTTATTTTTTTGGTTTTAAACAGTAGTCTATGGGGCTCGCCTCACTTTTGGATTCAGCGTCAAGAGGATATTTGAGGATTCAGCCCCAGGGGGCTGCTGTCGCAGGGTTACATGTGTTGCAACAGTAACAGAATTATGGATATATTGTGAATGGCATATTTTAAAGCAGTGCAAATCACAATTACTCTACCATGAGCCAAACAACATTTGGAAAGACCATAAAAGTTGTATGTTTAAATTAGTTTTTTTAGTGTTTGCATAAAGCCACACAGTGGCTTCAGAGGAGGCCGCTCTAAACCGGTTCAACGGGAAAGCATTTTAAAAAAAAATATGCAAGTGTGAAGAAGCCTGAAGGGGCTTTTACAAACCTCAGTGGGAAACTTAAACTCCAATCAACAATTCCACCTACGTGAGTCAAAAACCACTGGCAAAAACATGTTTTTACATTCCATGTCATCATTCGAAATGTGCAAATTGCGTGCTAGGCTGGGAATCAATGCCAGCATAAAGGAATATGCCATTTTAAAAAAGCTAATTTGCATTACAGTCTTAAGATCCACCATAATCAGAGTTTGAGATTTGCACCAGCATGTTTCTTCTCATTCCTTCAGACATGATGGCGGTAGGCTGTGACCTGAATGGGGTCCACTATGAGAATGGAGAATCCTTCCAGTCCAGCCCCCTCTACAAGTGTACATGCATCGCTGGAGCCATCGGCTGTACCCCTGCTTTCATCCAGAAGCCTGCTGGTCTCTTAGGCTCTGCACCACTGATCAGCAACACGCCAGCTGGCCTTCGCAGTGGCCAGAGCCCAAACAAGCACCAGCAGGACACTATCTACATGTCAGGTGTGTGTTTAGAGAATGAATTCATGGAGAAGAGCCAGACTGTCTTGCCTGGAATGCTAATTGCTGTTAGGTAGCTGGAAGGGAAGGGGGAGCCTCATTACTCAGTACTGTCAGTGTGAGGTGTGACTGCCTGTGGTTAAACTGTCTGACACATATGATTCCAGTTAGAGGAGGAAAAGGAAGAGAAACAAGTTGGTTTTTATTAAAAGCCATAAAAATGTCACTTTGATGTACGGCAAAGCTTATTTAATTGGCGTGGCATGTAGCTGAACCAGATCTATCACATGATCTATCTGAGTCACATACAGTGATTTGCCACTGTGAAAAAACAAAGCACTTTCCCACCCAGCAAAAACTCATCGTCCCTGTCGTTGAGATTTGGTTGAAACATTTTAATTTTGATTAAAAATGTCAAGAAAAGACACGACAAGCTTACTAAGTGGCGCAAACGAGCATGATGCTATAGTCACAAAAATGCACTAACGAGATGGGAAAGTTCTGAGGGTGATCTAATAACAAAAGAAGCTTTTATTTTGGTGTTTGTGGGTCTGATCTGGTTGTGGTTCGAGAAGTGTTGGTGCTAGTGGACGGCTCCGGTAATAATAATAATAATAATAATATGTAAAGATAGCTACATGTAAAAGAATGCCTGAGTTTGTGTAGTGAGCTGGTATGTTTACAGTGTTTCAGATTCTTTTGTGTTACATTTCTATGCAGATCTTTTAATTTTTTTGTCCTTTTCTATGTAGTAGCAATTTCATATCATAATGAATTCAAAATTGATTAATGGGACTGCTCCCATAAGGCTCTATAGCACCTAATCACAACCAGTATTAGTCAAGTTACTTGAAAATAGTAATTTGTTACTAATTACTGATTACTTCTCCACAAAGTAATCCTGTTACTTTACGGATTACTTATTTTCAAAAGTAATTAGTTACTTTATTATTTACTTTTTAAAAACATGATACATATGTAATAATGCAATAGACCTTTCAGCCAATTCAAATTTTTTTTCCTGCATAATCCATCATATAAAATTGAATCAAATCAAAAAGTCTCTTTTTCAAACTTGTTTTATTAGTTTTAATCTTTTAACTTTATACACATTGCATTAAGCAAAAATTAAATTATATGCAACATTCTCTGAGTTGAAGAAATTTGTTTAACATTTAAACCTATGTTCTGCATATTCCAGCATTTAAAATAAAATAATTTTTGCGTTTACTCTCACTCTTTCAAATAGATGCAAGAAAAACACAGCAAGAAATAAATAATTTGAAGTTTAATTTTTCACTGTAGAAAGAAGTTTTCTTCCCACGTAGAGTGCACGGCGGACGCTAATGTTTATGTCACTTTTTACAGAATCAAACTAGAAGTAATGTCAGTAATTCCAAGCCTTAAACACTGCATGGATGTACTCTCTGCCGCAGATCAACAGTGGATAATATCTCGATATTATCCACTATTGTCATGAGACATTAACAAACAAAATCAGTAACGCAGCATGCTTATGGTATAGTAACAGTAATCCCTTACTTTACTTGTTACTTGAAAAGTAATCAGATTACAGAAATGCATTACTTTTAATAGATTACTGCCCATCTCTGATGGAGACACAGCAGCTTGTTGGAATGATTCTGATCTGTGCTTTGCTTGACACAGTACCCTTTAACTGTAACACTGAAAGGTTACAGGGACCCTCCTTTAGCCTGGAAGAGGAACTGCCTAATCCAGACCACCCACTGGAGTCCCTGCTCCAAGACCTGTGGCCTGGGCATCTCTGTACGTGTCAACAATGATAACAGCAAGTGTGAGATGAGGAAAGACCGCCGCCTGTGCTTGCTGCAACCGTGTGAGAAAAGCGTGCTCAGGAGTGTCAAGGTGGCATCTTTAGCTTTAATCTGTCTGAATCTTTAATATTTTTATTTAATTTTTAAAGTTTTTTTTCTCAAACTCTTAAAAAGAAAGACACCAATTGCTATTCCTACTTCTAGGTGCCAAAGGGAAAGACGTGCCGACCCAAATTCCAGGCAAAGAAAGCAGAGAAGTTGACTCTCTCTGGCTGTACCAGCAACAAGAAGTTTAAGCCCACATACTGCGGTGTGTGTACAGACAAGCGCTGCTGTGTCCCCAACAAGTCACGCATGATCAAGGTCAACTTCACCTGCAAAGGAGGCTCCAACACACAGTGGAAGATGCAGTGGATAACGTCCTGTGTGTGTCAGAGGAAGTGCAACGATCCGGGCGACATGTTTTCTGACCTGCGTTTACTCTAAGGACCCCAAACGTCAGAGACGCAGAGTGGTGCAAGCCCCGCTGTGAGAAACTAAGGACTGAAACACACATACACTTTAATTCTCCCTTAGTAACAGTTTTGCACCTCCAAAAGGACAAAAACAAAACTAATTTTGAGAAAGAAGAACAACAGATCATTAAAAAAACAAAACAAAGTTTTATGGAGCACTCTTCAGGACAGGTATGTGCACTAACAACAAGGAATATGGCCAGTGTACTAGCTTTAACATTACCTCATAACAGAACAATCAGGGAGCTTGGAAAAGCAAATAGAAGCTTTAGAGTAGATTAAACTGATGTTCTCTTTAAGTGCTGTTTGGAACACTTTGACCATGCCATACATTAGATAACGTTGATATGTAAAAGCTTCAGTTCTGTGAGTTTGATTCCCAGATTCACAGCACAGCAGACCTTCATCTGGCGATGGAGAGTCTGGGTGCATCAGGCGTGAGTCTGGCCTTGGTGGCATCCAGATGATGATATTCTTCAATCAGTGAGTTGAGAGAGGCAATGGCCTCTGAGAAGAAGCTCTGTTCCATCCCTTCTACATGCAGGTAGTGGTGTAAGTGAGCCTAAAATGAAAAAAACAAAACATTAAAACTGAGTCTGACTGATGTGTTTGTCAGATTTAGAGGCTGATATGCATTTGCCAATAAGCTTGAAGAATAAACCTGAGATATCATTTCACCTGAAGACAAACTGCTTTGTTTTCTGTGGCTGTACCTGCACCACATATTGAATTAAATAAAAGAAAATACACATTTTGAAATCCATGTATGCCTCTAAACTTAAACCAGTGCAGGTAGACTATATGCCAAGTTATCTTTTGTAGCTACATTTTACAGATGGGTTAAAAGGTTTAGGGTTTAAGCTAGAATTAGGTTTAGGCTAAGAGTAGACCATAGGTTTGTAATAGTAAAATTTAAGTTATTAGATCTGGGAATGCATTACTATCAAAGAATGTCCTCACAAAGACAGCTTGAGACGCACCTTCTTCCTGTAGAGCTTGGTAAAGCGTTCCCTGAGCTCCATGAACGTGGGCTTCACGCAGGTGTTGTTGGCCAGAGCTAACAGGGAATGGGAGTGTCCCACGGGAGGCACTGAACACAGACTCGTCTTCCAGCCTTCCTGGTTCCATGAGACAAAGGGCAGTGATGGTCTCAGTCTAAAGCCAGGAGAGAGGGGAAAATAGCTGTATATGTAATGTTTAACATGTGAGCTTCACATGACAACCAAAAGACTTTGTTTAGTCTCAGTTTACTGTACTTTAAACTGTACTTTATCCTGAAATCAATATGTGAACAGTTCCCTAGCTAGGAGCTATGACTTTAAATCCAGAAACCAAGCACATTTACTTCACTAGCTTTAACAACAATCAAACAACTGGAAATGAAACAGTAAAAAAACCCAAAACAAAACAAACAAAAAAAAAAAACTTCACTTGTCTGCAGATTAGAGGACTACCAACATCTACAAGTATCCTTATAGTTAAGATACTTAGTCCTGTTTGTACATTATGTATGTATGTATGTATCTATATATATATATATATCTATATATGTACTTCCTTCCTCCTCCTACCTCTTTTGCCAACAATTTTAACACAACAGTCACAGTACAAAATGTGTGTGCCAACTGAAAAGGAGTTCTGTGAGAGCAGTGGTTAGAGGAGAATATAGTAAGAGCTTGTGGCTGAATGCAGTAATCATGACTTACTGCTAGTGCTCAATGGGTATACTATGGGAAAAGGTGAGTGTGTGGATCACTGGGTACGTTGGAATGGTTGCATGAAATCGTTACATCTTTTGGTGTAGAATTATATACAGAAATAAAGGATTTTCCTCTGACCTCTCGATGTTCCTGCGGACATCAGAAACCTGCACGTTACCCCTGACCATGAGGGCACAAGCCAGGTACAGGCTGTGCTTTGGGTCAGCTTGTATTAGCTGGTGGTCTTTACTGAAGGCATCGCTGAACATCTGATCCAGTCTAGAGCGCACGGTTGGAAGACAGGAGAAGAAAAGAAATGCTTGTATCAGTTGATCAACTTTACAAGAAATGAATGTGCATCAAATCATGTTAAATATTCCTTTTATAGCTTTTTCTTCCAGCCTCAATGAACCCGATTTTAACTGAACATGCCTTGAAGATTTTTATCAGAAGTTCAAAAAGACTGGGAACCAAGACGGCAGTGTTTGGCATAGAAGAATGTTTGCACCTTTATTTATGTAGGGAAGTCCCAAAGAGCAGGCGAGATATTTTTAAGCAACACCATGCCCTGCATTCATACAGTCACATTTATTTACTGCTGGGAGTTATCCAGTAAAACCACCACTCTTTTTGACCAATAAGCATCTTCATAGGAGGAGAGAAGGTCTCTGTGGCCCACACAAGGCCACTTTTGTGGCAGCTGTTGCTGGGAGGAGGTAGGCAGATTGGTGTTTTTTTTTTTTTTTTTTTTTAAATCCTACATCTGGAAAGCTAAAATTGAACTTGCCGCTTTTTCACATAATAAAAAGAAAGCTGGGGCTTTGTGGTGTTTTAAACTCTTACGCTTCTGTTTAACTAGGAAGAAAAGTGTTATTCTGAGTTTTTAGTAACTTGGTTATTCAGATCAGGTGAGTTCATTAAAAAAAAAAGCTTTATATTTAATACAAACTCAAGGTCGAATGTAAAGTGTTAAACCTATTTGAACTGGATCTTACTTTAATACTATTTTTCAGTAATGATCAGCAGAATTTCTCAACTATTAATCATTAAGTACTGGATTATTATTTAAACCATTCACAACTCTTAGCTACGCCTCTATTTTCCAGCTGTTTCCCCACTTCTGCATCACTGCTTATATTAACAGAAGTGTTAAAAGGTGTTTGCCTCCTTCCTGATTTTGTATTTCTTGTATGTTTGTCACAATTAAATATCCATCAAACAAATGTAAATATTAGACAATATATGTTTATTATTTGGCAGTTTAATTCTACATCTGATCTATTACTTTTACCTAACTGATAACTTTTCTGCTCAAACTTGAGGCATTCGGTTCTTTACTTTTCCAATTTTTTTGTGACCAGACAAGCTAATCTGTCACTTGGACACTAACCTGTGGGGTGTTTGTACTTTGGGTTGAAAATCATAGACTAACCAGGTCATTCATAGAATCATTTTAAAAAGAAAGCTTTTATAGGAGATAATTAATTGATCATGAGCAAGTTTCACTTTTTTCACTCTACCACTGTAAAAGCAGACATTTGGGCAGTTTGCCACTCATTGGTAAACTGAAGCATTTAGGAGTGTGTAAAGAACACCACAATTCTTCCCAAGGTCACACCATGCAATGCTCAGAGGAAATCCAAAAGACCCAAGAGCTACAACTGAGATTCTACAGGCCTCTGTTACCTGGTAAATGTTAAAGGTCATGACAGTACAATTACAAAAAAAAAAGACTAACCAAGTATGGCTTATTTGGATAAAACCACTGAAATGGAAATTGCATAGAAATTATGAAAACCAAAATGTTGAAATATATTCTATTTTTTGACTTTGCATAATATTGCAAACTCTATGAATAAAAAAAATAACAACAAAAAAATCCATTATTTATTCAATTAAATATCCTGAATTCAAAAATTTAGTAGCATAACATAATTTCAATTAAGTACAAAGAATACAATAGGCAATTACCACCGAATATGCACAAGGTGTGGATATGAATGAAGGATGAACACAAAACCAATGATGTTATTGTGTATTTCTTACAGGAGTTTGGAACTATTGTCCTGACAAAACTGAAATGTGCAGCACACTGAAACCATTTAAAAATGTCATGTTTAGTGTTCATCTGAATTTGGGGCAAACGGTCAATCATTTCTCTCTGTTTTCATAGTGATTTTGTGTTTAAACCAGATGTTAAGGATGTGGTTGTGTTCCTTATGTCTAGAATGGTGTCAGGGACAGGAGTTATGTAAGCTGCAAGCTTCAGCCTATACTCTTTCACATGATTCATATCAGGAAAATATTTGAATCTAAATTATGCCACTAACCATATCAGCCACCCCATCTGTAGGAAATCGTGAGTCAGTCCTGCTTGACTGGTGCTGTTTCATCATCATGTTACAAATGACAGTTTAAGTTACGGTGTAAACCAACCGAAACCACTTCTAAATGGTCAAGTCATCAATGGAGGGGTTCATGTGAGGAGGAGCTCTGCAGGACACACAACAACTGTCAGGTAAAAATAACTGCACCGATGGGCACAAGGCTTACCTCCTTGTGGGCACATTAATATCTGCTAATGTGTAGAGGGGTGTGAGACTGGGCACCAGGTAGTGTAAACGAGGAAAGGGCACCAGGTTCATCGTAATCTCATTCAGATCCATGTTGAGGGAGCCCTCAAACCGGGCTGAGCTGCAAATAAAAAAGTTATAATGACATGCTCAATTTGACTGCATAATAACGTTAAGTTCCACTAATTAGGGATAACTAAAAGAAGCAAATCTAGAATATCTTCTTGATACATAGCACTGTGCAAAAGATCAAAATACTTTTATTCATAAATAACTTCCTAAGTTGACTTGTGTGACAGCACCAAATCTCCAGGTTGACTCTCAAGCCCTTGCAGGACTCTCACAGAAGCTTTTAATGATAAGATAGCATCACGCGATAAACACCTGAAATGCTTTGACATCTCTGGTTAGTGTCTTATGCTCCAACTTTGGCTGACTCAAAGGGCCAAAATTAAAACAGACAGGAGACTGCAGATGAAAGCCCAAACTGGCTTTACTGACTGTTATTATGAAGAGAATGGATACTAATGCATTTATTATGGCAATCTTATGGACTAGAAAAAATGGTCAAAAGGGTGTTAATGTTTTTCCTTAGCACACGGGCTTCTACTGTATATGAGCAAACAGTAATACTATACCTGGTAATATTGAGCAACAGGTTAGCCACAATGTTATTCATAGCATCAAAGGGTTTTTCTGCCCCACTGAGGCCTTCCTGTCC